GATAGTTGGATGATATTGTTTAGTTTTCAGATATTTTTTGAGCATGAACGTGAAACATGATTGATTTATTTGTTAATTGTGAATTCAATCATAAATCCAGATAAATATGAGAATGGTATTTAAATTTCTACGCCTGTTAACTTTTGTGTTTCTATTGGTATATGAATTCAAAACAATACTCTTTTGATATTTTGAAATCAATTATTAGATGATTGTCATGTGTTCATAATAAATTGACATTTTTTTTATGATAATTGATTTCGTGATTAATATGGATATATTATTATGAAAATTCAGTTTCAATTTTGAAAAGTAATTAACATATATCAATTCATTTCAGTTACGAATTCATTGTTTAATTGATTCGTTAATTATATACGTTTGATTATTTAATTGATTGAATTGATACGAAATGTTGAATTCATATATAAACGGTATATTTTATGAATCTATGCACCGTTCAACTTAGGAATCAATGCTCGATATATATTATTCAAGTTAGACATATATAAATGTTTTATATATATATATATTATTAATTGAATGCACCATTGATTTGATTTATATATATAAATATATACGATTGATATTTTTTTTTAATTGCGAGTAGAATATATTTATATATATTTTATGCATATGTCGTTCAGTTATGCAAAAAAAATTTTAATTAATTTTAAATTCAAATACTAAGGGGTTTTATATATATTTTAAGATTAATTAATTGAAACAACATGTCACCAAAGTGACCTCTATTGTGTAAATTAATTTATTTTAAAATATAAAAATGTAGTAAGCTTGTAATTTATGTGCGTACTAGTCGGCCCAAAGGAAGATTAGTATTTTTATGTAATTACACGCTTGTGGTGATAAATTGCGTAATAATTATTCAGTTTTGTGTGTAAATATTAAATCAGCCCAAAGGAAGTTTTTTTTATTTGACACGTTCTTATTATTAGCATTTTATTACCGTGTCAAGGTATCATTGAATAATTAAAATTTTGTCCAAAGATAAAATATTAATGTATTACCGGTATCTTGAAATGAGATTTATTTGTATTTGAATTTAATTTTATTTTTGAGACTTATGTGAGTGTATTTTTTGTTTGTTGTTCTCAATTCAGTTATGAATGATCCTGCTAATATTATTGCCAGTATCAACTCTATTCCTGTGTTAAATGGCTCAAACTTCAAGTCCTGGAAAGACAATGTCTTGATAGTTCTTGGAGTAATGGATCTTGACCTTACATTAAGGATAGACTCACCTCCACCTCTTACAGATAAGAGTACCTCTGAAAATAAGAGGGAGATGGAAATGTGGGAGAAGTCAAATTGCATGAGTCTAATGATCATGAAGAAGGCCATTCCGGAAGCATTTCGGGGCACAATTTCTGAAAGCATAAATACAACTAAGAAGTTTCTTGCAGAAATTGAAAAAAGGTTTGTTAAGAATGAAAAGTCTGAGATAGGTACACTCTTGGCAAACCTAATTTCAAAGAAATATATGGGTAAGGGCAACATTAGGGAGTACATCATGGAGATGTCTCATATTGCTTCAAAACTAAAAGCACTTAAGCTTGAACTCTCTGAGGACTTGTTGGTGCATTTAGTTCTGATTTCTCTTCCGACACAATTTGGTCAGTTTAAGGTGAGCTATAATTGTCAGAAAGGAGACCATCTCACATTGTGTTCAGGAAGAGGAAAGATTGAAGCAAGATAAGACAGAAAGTGCTCATCTTGCCTCTACCTCAAAATATAAGGGCAAGGGACTAAAAAGGAAAAAAGATAAGGAAGTTGCAGTTATAGCACCTCAAAGGAAACAACAAAAGAAATCAAATGATTCTGAAGGCAATGGTTGTTTCTTTTGTGGAGTTGTTGGGCATGTGAAGAAGCATTGCACTAATTATCACGCATGGCGTGCTAAGAAAGGTATGCTTCTCAATTTGGTTTGTTCTGAGGTTAATTTAACTTCTGTACCTAGACACACATGGTGGATAGATTCTGGTGCAACAACTCACATCAGTGTGTCTATGCAGGGTTGCTTGAGTTGCCGAAAACCAAATGATGGTGAAAGATACATATATGTGGATGACGGCAAAACGGTTCAAGTTGAAGCAATTAAAAAATTTAGATTATTATTAAAGACTGGTTTTTATTTAGATCTTGATGAAACTTTTATTGTACCGTCTTTTAGATGAAACTTGATTTCTATTTCTGTTTTGGACAAATTTGGTTATTCTTGTTCATTTGGGAATGGAAAATTTAGTTTGCTTCATGATTCAAAATTGGTTGGTTCTGGTTCTTTATCAAGTTATGATAATCTTTATTTAATCGATATGATTGCTTCATTTAATGAATCTTTACAACTAAGTACTCAAGGCATAAAAAGAAAATTAACAAATGAGAATTCAGCTGCGTTATGGCACAGACGATTAGGTCATATCTCCAAATGGAGAATAGAAAGACTTGTGTCAGACGAAATTCTAAACCCTTTATATTTTACAGATTTTGATATTTGTATCAATTGTATAAAGGGTAAACAAATCAACAAAAGGAGATTTGAGGCCAATAGGACTTTAGATGTCTTAGAACTTATACATACAGATATTTGTGGACCATTTTCTACAGTTGCTTGGAATGGTCAACAATATTTTATAATGTTCATAGATGACTTTTCAAAATATGGCTATATTTATCTCATTCATGAAAAGGCAAAGTCATTAGATATGTTCAAAAATTATAAGGTTGAAGTTGAGAACCAACTCAACAAAAGAATTAAAAGCGTCAGGTCTGACCGTGGTGGTGAATACTATGGTAGATATGATGGTTCAGGTGAACAACGTCTAGGACCATTTGCTAAATTCCTAGAGGAATGCGGTATCATCCCACAGTACACTATGCCGGGTTCGCCCACTATGAATGGTGTTGCTGAAAGGCGAAACAAGACGCTTAAAGACATGGTAAGGAGTATGATTAGTCATTCTACTTTGCCAAAATCACTCTGGGGAGAAGCCCTTAAGACTGCAGCATATATCCTTAATAGGGTTCCAACAAAAGCAACAGGAAAAACCCCTTGGATTAAATTAATTAGAACATAAAGAAATGTAGTAGGTGAACCCATAAGTCTTAGATTCGTCTCATCTGATCTCTCTCATATATTGTATTACTGTTTTTTTAATTTATTATTAACATTAAGCTCTATTTTTGGTCTATTACAATCCCGTTACATTTAAACAATCAGATCAAGCTATTTTTGGTACTTGAAAATAATCTCTGTAGATCAATAACTTATGAACTCTTTTTAAAAACTCTTTATTACTTTTTTATGGATACACTTGTGCATGAACAAAATTGAATTGAGTGGTCAATTTTTAAGAAAGAAGAAACATTTCTAAGACCAGAAGCGTGACTTGTAATTTATGCTTTCCCATAGTTTCCACTTGGCCTACTAATTTAGGTCATAAAATGCTCGATATATTTTGTTTTTCTGAGAAGAATTTTCATTTTATTTGAGTGTTTACTTTTAAGATTAAAATTATTAGATTATACATAATATATAATATTTTATTTTTTCATCCGAATATAAATTTGTTATAAACCAAGCTGAAATTTTCAAATAAGATTTTTTTTTTCTTTTTCATTTGGGACGGGGATGACGCGGAGTTATTAGGATTGCAAGGATCTCACCTATGCTCATGAGGTTTATGTGCCGCTATCATCTCCGCTTGGCTTTTTTTTATTTTCTCTCTCTCTCCATTTACCATTTATCTTCTCTCCACCCTTTGCTTACGACACGTGCTTTCTCTCTTTCCTGCATTCAAATTATTGAAACCACTTTAAGACTTGTGTTAATCCAGAAAAAGAAAAAAGAAGAAAAAAAACTCATTAAAGCTACCTTCAGGTTCGGTTAATCCGAAATGAAGAAAAGAAAAAAGAAAAAAGAAAAATATTTGTTATGCTGGAAAGTGAGTGGTTAATTTTTAATGTAATTATTTTTGTAGTTGGAAGATTGCTAAGTTGTGTTTAGTATTGAGCATGTATGCTTGATCTTTTACTGTATTACTGTATATTCATTGTGTATTATTGGAATATATTCGATATTTAGCATCCTTTGGTTCTAAGAATTAAGGATGAATAAATTTTGAAGTTTTAGTTAATTGAGCCTTAATGAGTAAGTTGGCCTTTATTAACTGCACTACGCCCAGTTACGATAGGTGAGCCCATTAAGTTGGCCCTCAGAGTAAGTTTTTCGATGACATAAAAAGTTTATGAAACCAGCGATGGATAATAAAGGAAATGTTTTTTCAAACAGGTTGGTTTAAATTAATTTGTCCGTCCTTAATATTTTGAAAAATCAAATAACTTAAAAGTTCATAATTGAATCTCTGAATTTATAAATTATTTTTAGTTAGATATTTCTTTAAGATTATTTGAAAGATTCATACGATTTAAGGATCAGTTAGGGATTTAATTAAATTTAATGATTAGGTTATGAATATAATCATAATTTGTTTTTGAAACTTTCAAATAATTTTGGGATGAATAGATTAATTTAACCTTCCAACAAAATTAAGAATGTTTTCACTAGATCAGAGCTATTTTACAAATACAAAGTACCAAATTCCTAAAAAACTGTATTCAGTTATAATAATGAGGACTCCAAAGATAGTTTTAAAAGAATTAAAATTAAAAAAAAAAAGTTAAAGATCCCAAGAATTATATAATCAGATGCGTCAATGGTTCCCTTCTATGAAAGATAAAAAGTATATAAAAAAGGAAAAGAGAAAGATAGAATGTACTCCTATGATGTACAGATTCGAACATGATTTACCAAAAATTCTATTTTTCACTCCACCTCTGCTGTACACACGTTCCTCGTCACCAGAGTCCTCGGAAGTATCAGTAAAGCATCGTTTCCCTATCAACCCTAACCTCAACAAAAACAGCCTTTTGCTCATTACCCTTTTAAACTTTTAATTTACTTCTCTCGAATTGTGATCGCACTATGCAATATGCAGCCCCTTTGAGTTAGATCCACTACTACTCTCACTCGCACTCTCACTTGATTCCCCAACTTCTGGAGGTATATAGCACTTTCCGCCGGGTCTTCCTCCCATAGGACGCTTACCAGGTGAAATTTCATTTCCCTCCCCTCCTTCCGTTTGTAGATTCAATCCACTATATTTGCTATCTCCCCCATCGTGAAACCCATCTCTATAATCTTTTTCCTCCTCGTCTGACCCACTGTGAACTGGCCTCCCTGCTAATTCCATAATCCTGGTGCTGCTTCTCCTCATTGGGCTCCGGGACCGAATACCCATTTCTTGATATGAATCTACTACTGGCTCCCTCGGAACCTTAGACCTGAAATTGTGCCTGGATGGAGGAATGCTAGTGCAGAATACTTCTTTGAAGTTCCCAACTATACCTCTGTCATATGGGTAGCCGTCTTCGTCAAACTGGTATCTAAAATTTTCGTAAGTAGACTGCACATAAAACAAAATGAACTTTCATATAACGTGTCAGAAAAGTAAAACCACACTAGACATGCACCCTAGTGTTTCAACTTTTACTCGTTCCATATCATCCATATAGCAGATCACGTCATGGTTTCAAATGTAAGGTTCAAAAGGATTAGGAGCAGAATGGCTTATAAACCTGGTTTGTGCTGATGAGATATGTGTGAAAAACAGTGAGGCCGCCAACAAACCATACGCAAATGAAGGTGTAGGCTATTAGTGCAGTGGATGCAGGAGTTCCGATCATTGCTTTCAAAATTGATTTTTCCTCCGAGTCCATGATCTTCTTAATGTAGACCCAGCAAAATCCATGTACATTTAAGCAAAGCAGAGTTGTGGAAAAAATAAAAAGGTAGTAGAACCGGTAATTTCGCTGCAGCCGTGTACATTCATGCAAAGGGGGAAAAATGACCTGACTCAGCAACTTCGAAGTCTAATTCATATATCTAACACAAACACGATTATTTATTAATTGTTGTTTGTCTTCATGTATATCGCGTTGTAACTGATATTTGGGCATGCAAGCAGAAAAATACAAATACACATGCAGAAAAATCATGGATCACGAATTTTTTCGGCAGAGGATATGGTCAACATACTAGCATACTATGCCTTTCAACAAATTAAGAACTTATTCAAATATCCCCATTGGAAGTAAATTAGCTATGATTCCAACGGTCAATACCATCAATAATGAAGTTATGAAAGAATGGCCCATACCACCCCAATACACTGACCCACCCATGGGCAGTGATGATCAAATCGCTCCACGCAGTTATCACAGATTGAACAATGAGAACAGCGGAGGGGTCTATAGAGCATGCACGTATCACAGTATTTGACTTTCACTGTTATTCCATTGACAATTACATCCCTCGTCCGTGGCAAGCGTGGCTGCGGACTTTGCCCATCATTGATATTGGCAGTCACATGATCATCATCTGGCTCCGGAGGATGGGCATTACGAGGAACTATGCCTGGATCTCTTCCTGAGGTCAGTACAAGGGTGATCAGAACCTGGGAATACAGCGGTGAATGAGAAAGATTGTGCTGTAATAGATCTCGACAACTATAATCAAAAGTTTTTCGACAAAACTTTCCAAAATAAAAAGGGGGATGATATCCTCCAAAATAATTAAGACAAATATTAATCAGCGTCGCTAACTAAAAATATAAAAATTTGTTTTTTATTTTTACTTCCCCGTGATTTTAAAACAACTAATTCGATTTTTAATTAAATTTGTTATTTATGAAATTTTTAATCAGCATTCTTAAGACACTAAACATTGATCAGTAAGCCCCAATAATTGAAAAAATGGCTTAGTTGGGTATGCAATTAGGACATTTTTAGATCAGCATTATAACACAAACAACAAATGATGAAACTAAGATGAAAAAACATAAATGTGCCATAAAAAAAAGTGAAATGCTACTTCGGTGCATCTCTAACAAAATGTATACTGAAGCAACTTAATGATAATCACTCTGATATAAGAGGAGAACATTATGCATCAATTAAATATAAAAGATAAGGTAGGCAAAACTGAAAGTCCAGAAGAAGACAAGAGCAATAATTAAGTATATTAAAACAAATAATAGTTTCAAACCAATAAATGAGGGTATATTTAAGAACAAAAAAAACTTACGAACAGAGTGAGAACAATAACTGCTATCATTATTGACCATCCCAAGTGATTAGGAAAACCATCTACGAGTTTCCTCAATACAAAAGCACAGAAAACGGAAGTCGGAGCAACAATAAGAAAAGTCGATAAAAACATAGATTTCACATCAGGACCAAATATAAGCCTCCCTCGAAGACAGAATACCTGAAAATTTTAAACCACGATTAAGAACGGTTACAAAGCCAGTATAGCAAACAATATATTAAATAACTAAAAATGATACTTGTAAAAATTAAATAAAAACGATCAACATCAATAAATGGCAACATGAGATAACAAATACACTTATTACAGTAAATATAGCGCAAATGTAGAATTTTATACCGCTGTTTTGACGAGTCATAGAATTTTATAGCGCAAATGTAGAATGCTGAACACGGTTCCTAGAATCTAGCTTCCGGCTGTATTTTACTACTTATTAACATTAATATATATTTATTTATTCACATCTATTACTTTGCTATTGCATAAGAGGAGATAAAATCTATCTGCATAAACCTAAAAAATACTCATATTTCTATGTTTAATGTTATCAAGCTTAATTCGCATCTTACATGTTAAATTCTATAGCATTTTCGGAAGGAACATTACGAAATACAAATCTAACCGAAATATAGCGATCAATTCAATCACAACCTCAACGACCAAATACAAATCCACGTTGCTGCATCATTCAGTTAACTAAAGTGCGAGTCACTATCCAGAGAAGCACAACTGGTAACAGAAACTTGAGGATTTTTTTCCGTGAACAAAAAAACGCAAGCTCTCTGCATATGCATGATTCCGAATAAACTCGGTATTTATAGACAGAACTCGGAAATGGACTCAGGACCAAGAAAACCCTAAATGAGCGATCACAGAAGAAAAAATTGCGTATGTAACTTACGTTATTGCCTTTCCAGACGCGGTAAGTTCTGTCGAGCAAGGCAGCAGGGGCAGCGGCGGAGCCAGGATTCTCCGACAACGGCGGCGATGGCTGCATTGTGTGCACTGTATGCGAATGAAAATCACAATGAAAATGCTAATAAACAAAATAATGAATAAAAGAAAGAATGAAAATTAAAAACTGAACAGACACAAAATACAGCGACGGCACCGCGGGTCAAAGCCTCAAAGGGTGAAAGGGCGGCTTTTCTCGCTCCTATTTTAATATTTCTTTTAGTTATTTATACATTAAGTTTTAAATAAAATATTTAATATTTTTATTTACTACAATAAAATTTAAGGAAATAAAAGATAAAAGATAAGAAAAATTAAAATTATTTATTTTTTACTGCTATAATTTTTTTTTTCAAAATTAACAATTTGTGTGACTTTCCATGTTTTCCAATTGAAGTACTGTTTTAGCGAATACTTTTAATTCTTTTATGAATTGAGGATGAGAAATAAGATTCATACCCTTTATATGACAATTCCTGGTAATGTAACTTGTAAGTTCACTGTTCACATGATCCACTGAATCCTGTAAAATCAACACATAAATATAAATAACAGTAAATTGAAATTAAAAAAGGGAATTACCACATGATTAAATCGGTTTATTTTTTTTTAAAAAATCATTTATTTTTTATTTTGTTAAAAAATGAAAAAATTTACCAAACACATGTTTATAAATATATGTGACAGGCAAGATATCACAGCTAAAGAAGCAGACTTTTTAATTATTAATTAAAAAAATATACTCACATCATTTGTTAGTTTTTAAAAAAAATTTAGGGCATTAATAAAATATGTTATTAATATTTTCAATCACAAAATTCAAAATTCAAAATAAAAATAAAAATAAAATAAAATCATATCATCGGATTTGCACTGTACGATCCTCAGATCCTGTATATATTTTTACGGCGATCGCCTTGTAACTTGTAAGATGTTTAAAAATAGATTGCAAAGTATCTTGGAATACTGTTGAAGAGACATAAAATATTTACTGGAAATAAAATTCTATTTACCATATTAAACACGTGAGTATTTTGTAGCATTGAAGTTTAAGCTAATTAATAATGTTTAGCACACTAACTAACCATTTTACGATACTCATTGACAAAACTAATAAAATAAATTGTATTTTAACAAAATAGTAAATATTCTTTAAAAATAAAAAATTTCTTATAATAATAATAATTTTTTTTTATATTTTTTATTAACTTCAACTTTTATGAATGAATTTAAATAGTTAATAATAGTAAAATTTTATTTAAAAAATTATTTATTATATTTTTATAATTTTTATACAATAACTATATATTTTTTATAAAAAATTATTTATAAATATTTAAACTCAACTTTAAACTAAAATTAACAAAAAAAAAAATTAAACTTGTATCCTAATAATACAAACTAAAAATTACTAAATAACAATAAATTATTATAAATTATAATATTTAATGTTAAATAATTTTAATGTGTAACATTCTATGAGTTTTATAAAGGCTTATCTCATAAAAATCTTTATTGTGATCTTTAGATACATGTTAAATAAATCATAATATATATAATATATTATAAAAATTTTATCGCAATTTAAGCGGATCATATCTTATAAAAAAAATATTATTAAAAAATACATTTTCCACAATAAAACTAGATCAAATCCACATGCGTTGCAAGGATTTTGTACAAGTATGAAAAATAACATGCATTCAAAATGTAATTAACTTAAAAATTTTATAAACGATAATAATATATAATAACATTTTTAATATATAAAAGAAACTGAAAATAATATGCATTGAAATATCTTTAATTTTTTGTCAACATTATAAAAGTTTCCTTAACTTACCCACGCTTTCGGCCGTCTGCAAGAGACCTGGGCCGGTGATGACGTGGCAAGCAACCATAGTAGATGAGGAATTTGCTGTCTGCCAATAAAATAAATATTAAAAAATCACATTCAAATAAAGTATTTTTTTTGGGTATAGTCGTACTCTTACATATCAAATTAATAAAGTTACTTTTATCAGCCTTTACATTACGATTAAAAGAATATTATTCAGAAAATAAAATATTAACATAGTTATTATTTCTTAGAATTTATCATGTGTATATTTTATAATTAAAATTAAGTAAAAATAATATGTAAATTATATTATTTATTAATTTTGTTTTAGAATTTAAAATTGTTATTTGATTTTAAAAAAAAATTTAAAGTTATTTTTAAGAATTTTATCTCTTAAATTTATAATTATTAATAAATATTAATTATTTTAAAACAAAATCTATATCTTTCGGATACATAATATTTGCAATTAAAAAGTTAAATTAAAAAATATTTTTTAAAAGTATTATTTATAATAATTTAATTATATATAACTTTTTTAAATATAAAATTTTATTCTTTAATTATTTAAATTAAAAATATTAGGAATCTTAACTAAATTTAACATAAACAAATTTGAAATTAGGGGTCTAGATTTTATTACAAGTTTATTTTTTTTTTATTTTTGTCAATTTATATCTAACACGATTATAAAGTTTGTCCGATCTAACTTATTTAAATAATATATTTAATTTAATTTTTAAAAAAAAATTAATAAATTAGACTTGAGTTTAAAAAATATTAAAATTAATAAATTAATTTATTTAAGACTGGTAAATTGTATAATAATATATAAAATTATATATATATATATATATATATCAATCATAATATTTTTATAATATTAATAAGTTAAATTTTAAAATAAATAAAGCTCTTAACTTTATAATATTAGATATTAGACAATAAATAAGTTTAATAATTTAGTAAAAGTATTGATACAAAATAAGTTATTAAAAAGTTAGTAAAGTCAAATTCATAAAAAATTTAAACTGAATTTAATAAAAAATTTATATAACAAATTATAAGTAAAATTTAAAGTTTATAATTATTATTAGAAAGACTTAAGGTTAGTTAAGTAAAGTCTAGTTTGACGTAGCTTACGTCTATTCTATCTGTTAGTGTTATGTTAGTTATGACCATGAAAAATAATCTTCACCTACTATAAATATATGGAGCATGAATGACACGGCCATATTAAATGTTTTCTTATCGAATTTGAACATCCGTCAAATATTATATATAAAAACAGTGTTACTTTACGCGATGAATTGATGAAGAATTTAGCTTTAATACATTAAATAACATAGATTAATAATTAATTAGAGTGATCAGAAATATATTTTTTAAAAATTTAGGTTATTATTTAATTATAAAATATTACATAATTAAAAAAATATTATGACTTATAAGAATTAATTTTAAAATAATGTTAAAAAATTTCACTAATTAATTATATAAAAAATTTCCAACATTAATATACTAAAATTAAACTCTTTATATTGTTAATGTATTTTAATTAAATTGGTTGACTAATATGGCATCTCAACAATAAGAACTTATGATATAACAAATAGATTAAAAAAATGATTGTATCATAGCGTCACATGTTTTCTCCATTATTAATCTGATCTCGTCACAAAAATTTATCTCATTAGTGATTACCTTCCATTTTGGGTATATTTTGTTATTTGATAGTAATAAAGCTCAATCAGGTACTGAGTACTGACAAGGACATTATATCATGGTTTAGACAACAAACCCACCCCAAAATTTTTTCTTTTTCTTTTTCTTTTTCTTTTTTTATCCTAGTTTAAACTTTAGACGTCCATTTATCAACTATGTTCTTTTGCTTTGGTCAATGAGCAAGAAATCCTTGGACCTCATAAATTGCCAGCATTTCTCCTCAACTACTTGCCACTTACGTCGAGGCCACGATGAAAAAAAGAAGAAGGGAATATACTCGTAGTTGTAGAGCCAATCAAAATTATATATATATATATATATATATATATATATATATATATATATATATGATGATGATGATACATCCCTTCATCAATTTACTAAACTATGCACTATTCACACACTCAATAAATGGAAATATATATGGTTTAAATAAAAATCTTTGAGTACACAATAAATACTAATAACATATTATTTGATAATTCATTAAATATTTTTATTATTAAATAAAGCTTTATGTTAACCCTACTAAATAACCTGAACTCATTAGCGGATATATTTTAACCCGTGTAAAGTTCTACTAACAATAAAAATAATGTTAAAAATAAAGTGTGATAAAAAAAGTATTTTGTTATTTACCCCCATTGTATTTATATTAATAATTTATGATAGGTACTTAAAAGCGATTGATGAAAAGAACAGTTTGAAAAACAAAACAAAAGATAACAAAAAAAAATGATAGTTTTTTGTGATGTTGATTAGTTATGAGCAGCTTTAGAATGAGATTGTCTAAATTCATAGCTCATTTTTACTAAATATTTAACTTTCAAGAATTCAAAATTGAACACACGTGCCAACACTTTCGTTAATTTTCAAAGAAGACAATGAAAGCAGTTAACATGGTATTTGTAGAAAGAGTTATGGTAGCTAGTAACTTAATACGATTTTCAACAGCAAATATGAAATAGAACAAAGAAAGAAGGATGAAAATAACTGTGATTTTGTATTAATTGCAATAAAAAAACATATAGAAAAGAGAAAAACTTGTTGTTGCCTTGAGTAGTGTTCCTAATAGAGAAATAAATATGTTTTTTCTACTCAAATGCAATAAAAATAGAATGATCTTCTTTGATCATTTATGATTTATATATAACAGAAATATCTCTTATTTTTTCTGATCATGCTTCCTTGCTTCTTTAGATCACAGGGAAAGTAATTCTGTAGGAAGATTGTCTTAAAAGCCTCCCACTAGATATAGCCATCTTTTTGTGGTAAAGTCTGACTGACAAACTTCCACCAGTCTTCTGCCTCCCCACACAGCAAGTAGGTGGCGTAGCTCACCTTGTGCTCCTCACGGCATTTAATAGCATTGAAGACCTTCTCTACATCCGCTAACCATCTTTGAGCTCCTTTAGGGTTGAAACCTTCCTCAAATTTTGGAGGATCATGCCTAGTAAAAGGCAGATAATCATTGGTACTCAGTCGGTTCTCCACCTTGGTTGTGCACCAAGGTCTCTAGAATTTGAGTCATGTGCTCCATTAGGTTATTAGTGTCTCATGCTCCTCTACCTCTACCAACCATGCTAAGCTAAGCTAACTACAATGCAACAAACCACATTCTAATATATCAGATCAATAACAACATTTATAATTTAGGTAAGCAAAATATATCAGCACACACAACCTTTGAGCTCCTTCAGGGTTGAAACCTCTCTCAAATTTTGGAGGATCATGGCTAGTGAAAGGCAGACAATCCTCGATACTCAGTCGACTCTCCGCCTTGGTTGTGCACTAAGGTCCCTAGAATTTGAGTCCTGTGCTCCATTAGGTCATTGTTGTCTCTTGCTCCTCTACCTCTATCAGCCATTCTAAGCTAACCACAATGAAACAAACCACATTCTAACATATCAGATCAATAACAACATTTATAATTCAGGTAAGCAAAACATATCAACACACACAACTTGGATACTTCAGTCTGATACCCTAGTCCAGTTTGGATGAATTGCTCTGATACCAAAATTATAATAGTGTCAACTTATTTGGGACTGACGACTATCCTCACAAACCAACACAAGACTTTTCAGCGTGTTTTGTCCTCACTTACACACTTCCTGAGGACTTTCCAGAAGGTCACTCATCCCATAATTGCCCCAAGTTAAGCACGCTTAACTTTAGAGTTCTTAAGTGATAGGCCACCGAAAAGTAAATGTATTTTGTTAGTATAGGTAGTTCTAATCAATTCTTTTAAGCTATCATCAATTGTATACACAGTCTTTAGATTCCTCTCATTCCGGTGTAAGTTCGATTCATTCATGTGCCCCTTACTGCCAGAAGTCTGCCAAGAGTCGCTCCTTATCTGTGCCACACATTACATCGGCGATCACTCCCCGTCCTCGCTTGGAAGCCTGCTAAAAGCCCCTCATTATTCGTGCTACAATGCACTGGCGACCATTCTCAGCCCTCGCCTAGCGCCTGGGTGTCACATTTGATATGCTTAAAGTTCTTGAAATAATAATGAAATGTAGTTTTTTGATAATAATAACTATCACATAATTGAAAGAAGTTCAATATAGATAAAAAATCATACCATCAAATATTTTCATTTTATATAATTGAATAAACACAATAGGTAAAGCATTAGAATCTTAGCAAACTTCTCCCATAAAGTACAAATAACTTTTTGATTCCTACGAAACAAATTCAATATAATATAACCTTTAATTAATATAAAGTAATGAAAGGAGAGATAAATAAAAAATATTTTAGTCATTAAAATATGTTGTAAAATAATACTCACTCCAAGTCTTTGAGAACAAAATTAATATGTTTACTTTTCTTTCTATTTTTTCTGTCTTTTTGAGATTATCTTTCTCAACCACATAATTAATGACATCTAATTGAATATGCGTCAAAATATTATTTTAAAATAATAAAGTAGCATACATGATTAAATACGAAAGTGATTAAAATTAGAAAAAATAAAACTCACCAATTAGATATAGTTCATTCAGCCTACTTAAAATTTGAGAATGGAATAAAATCAAAATAATTAAAAGAAATATTGTTATATTTGATTTCTGAAACTCTAGTGGTTACCATCAAATTTAATTTTTATTTGTGTTTAGTGGTTCACAACTTCTTTTCAAAAGTAATTACTATAAAAAAATTTATGATATATACGTTACTTTCATAGAATAATTTTTTATAACGTAATATAATATCCTTTCTAACAATATAATGAATCTTTGAATGTTATTAAATGATTTTAATGCATAACCTTCTATGAGTTTTATAAAAGTTTATCAAATAAAAAAAATCTTTATTGTAATCTTTAGATACATTTTAAATAAATCATAATATATATATATATATATATATATTTATATATAATAGATTATAAAATTTTTTATCACAATTTAAGCGGGTCATATCTTATAAAAATATATTATTAAAAAATGTATTTTTTACGATAAAACTAGATCAAATCCACATGCATTGCAAGGATTTTGTACAAGTATGAAAAATAACATGCATTCCAAATGTAATTAACTTAAAATTTTTATAAACGATAATAATATTTTTAATATATAAAAGAAACTGAAAATGATATGTATTGAAATATCTTTAATTTTTTGTCAACATATATAAAAGTATCCTTAATTTACCGACGTTTTCGGCCGTCTGCAAGAGACTTGGGCCGGTGATGACGTGGCAAGCAACCATAGTAGCTGAGGAATGTGCTGTCTGCCAATAAAATAAATATTAAAAAATCACATTCAACAGTTAACGCTGACAAAATCAAATACAGTATTTTTATTTTTTATTTTTTTTGGGTATAGTCGTAATCTTACATATCAAATTCATAAAGTTAAATCATAATAGTCGATCAAATGTTAAAGAAGAATTGAAACAAAATAACTTATTATAAATGAGCCTTAGTCGACTAATAGAGCATCTCAACAATAAGAACTTATCATATAACAAAGAGATAAAAAAAATAAAATGATTGTGTCATATCGTCACGTGTTTTCTCCATTATTAATCTGATCTCGTCACTATTACCTTCCATTTTGGGTATATTTTGTTATTTGATAGTAATAAAGCTTTTCGAAGGACGTTATATCATAGTTTAGACAACAAACCCACCCCTAAATTTTTTATTTTTCTTTTTCTTTTTTTTATCCTAGTTTAAACTTTAGACGTCCATATATCAACTCCGTTCTTTTGTTTGGTCAATGCTCTTAATTATTTGGTTGTTTTTTTGTTCCTTGGATCCATAGGTGTAGTCACCAGCAGGAAACCCTTGGGCCTCATAATTGCGATCATTTATCTTTTAGCCATAACATGGCCCAACTACTTGCCACTTACTCACATTGAGGCCACGATGAAGAAAAGAACAGTACACTACCAGAATGACATATATATATATAATACAACCCTTCATCAATTTACGAAAGTATGCACTATTCACACACTCAATAAATAAATGGAAATATATATGGTTTAAATAACATCTTTGTCTACACAATAAATACTAATAACATATTATTTGATAATTTATTAAATATTTTTATTATTAAATAAAACTTTATGTTAACCCTACTAAATAACCTAAACTTATTGCCGGATATATTTTGACCAGTATGAAGTTCTACTAACAATAAAAATAATGTTAAAAACAAAGTGTGATAGAATTTTATTTTATTTTTTGTTATTTATGCCATTATATTTATATTAATGATTCATGATAGGTACTTAAAAGCGATTGATGAAAAGAACAGTTTGAAAAGCAATATGAAAGATAACAAAAAGGAAAAAAAATGATAGTTTTTTTTGTGGTGTTGATTAGTTATCAATGAGATTGTCTAAATTCATAGCTCATTTCTACTAAATGTTTAACTTCCGGGAATTCAAGACCGGACACACGTGCCAACACTGTCTGTGGTGTGGAGTTAATTGTATTTGAACTATTTTTTCTTTTTTGTCTTCAATAATGTTATTGGCTGTTGCTCGATACTTCGTAAGAAAATAATGTCATGAGTTTCAAGGACAATAATTTATTAAAAGTCTTTTTACTCAATATTTTTTAAGTATTATTAGTTAATGAATTAATATAAAAATAACTTTTATTAGATATTATTTTAGATTATATTAAAAATAAAAATAAAATAAATTGATGATACTTTTCTTTGCAAAATTATTATTATTATTTTCTTTAAGTAATGTTTTTAAGAATCAAAATATACCAGCACCAAATCTGATTAAGTAGATGTGTGGGTGGCATTGCCATGAATTTCAATTATCTCCTTAAGCAGAATTATTAAATTAAGTTGATAATTAGTTGTCTTAAACTTCTGCCAAAGTAATCCAATTTAAATATGGTCTCAGATCTTATTAATTAATCCAATCAACAAACTCTAGCAACCTCAAGTACTGAACGAAAAAAGAAGCTAGCTAACTCTAATTAACTACATGAACATTAGCATATTCGTATACGTGGTACTATACAACAAATCTCATTATTATTCTCCCTATGGTACTATCCCCTCTTGTCACTGTTTGAAATAATGAATATTAGTGTACTGTGTAGTTCTCGTACCTCATTGATGGGCAATTCGGGATTGGGAGGCAAACTCGTTAGGAATAAAACGTAAGTGATCGAAGTTTGTTACTTTTTTGGGTTAAAATTAAACTTTGTCATCGTAATTCATATTATAAAAATGGATCGATATATATTATTAAAATAAAATTTTAATCTTAATTTAAAAAGTATAAAAAAAACTTATTACAGTATACTTAAATTTTATCCACTGTTAATTATTTCACTTCTTAAACTATACACCAGTTTAGTGCTTGCCAATTGCCATTGAAATGCAATATAATATGATTTAATTAGCAATAATAAGGTGCTGGTTTATAGTACCGAACTATGTATCCTTAGCTTAACTAGCAAACATTCTATTATGGCAGCGATAACAGATAAGAGTGCACTTTGTTGAATGCAGACAGAAGAAACATAACAAGTGGCAAAATTTGTGTGGTCCAAGTGGCTTGCAATTATTCAAAGGGACAACGATTTAAAGGGCTACGTTGGGTCATGTTGGGCGATTCATGAATGAATGAAATGGAGGAGCTTGCTCTAAAATGTGGCATTTAATTCCATGAAAGGCATTTCCACGGTAGAGGTTACGATGAGCTTATGTGAACTGTGAAGCGTGTCTGGTGCAGGGGTCCATCCCCCATCATTGCGGAAACAAAAAATAGACTTGAAGCCATGATAATAGGGCTTACCTTCGTCGACTTCCAATGAATTTTGCAAATACACGTAAATATGTGGCTTTGAATTTTTTTGAAATAAACACCAATACGGATTAATATTGTGTGAACTTTAAAATTTTAAGATATCATATCATACGGGATATGGATATTTTTTTTTTATCGTAAGATAGAATTTTCTATCGCAGTAAATATATTCGAAAAAACAAAGTTGATTTTGTGTGTATGTAAATCTTTGTGCTTTGTTTTGTGGGCTATGATAGTCCCATGAAATCTTTATTTTCGCGTGGAGTATTTTATATTTCAGAGGGAAGAATTTTCTCCTCGTAAGATCACTTCATTTTACAATTGTGAATGTAACTATGTACGTACCAAACATATCCATCAGTGTTGTGCTCTCAGAGGGAAAAGAGAAATACAATAATTAATTTCTTGTTTAACACCACTGGTCTAACACCGATTATCTCAATTAAAAAAAAATCTAAAAACTAAAAAGTTAGGCTCAATTCAAGGATATATTTACAATATTTTAAAATTATAAGAATTTTAAAATACATATATAATTAGCTCTAAAATGGGCCTACTATTGATCTGAGTAATAAGAAACTCAATTTCTCTCAAACTGAGTAAACTCAAGTACTTTAAATGAATTCGCATAATCAGATGCAAAGTGTTTTAGGATATAAAAGACTTAGGACAGAGTGTATTTTAGCAATGATATTTCAGTTAAAAACTTTTAAACTATAGGATCTAGTTATATATATTTTTTAAAATATAAAAATATATTTGATCGTATTAAAAAATATTGGAATTTACAAATTAATTAATTTAATTTTAAAAGAGAAAACCTTATTAATTATTATAGATGGTCTTATTTGCTCATACGTGGACAGATATCCAAAATAATTTCAGCACTGAGATTCACGAGAGGGTGTAGGGTCGCATTCTCTCAAAGCATAGCATAGAATACGAGAGATCGAGTATTAGCTAGCACTCTAGTATTGCATTGGTCAATTTTCATTTAAATCCACTCGCCCTATTCTTATTCTTTTAGTAAAATTCCAGCTAATTCCAGATGACTGATAGGTTTTAACTCTTTGTTTCAGCCACACAAAAGGAAACCTAGCCTCCATACATGTATAAAGTTAACCAATGTCTTAAATATAATGAAACAAATATAAAATATATAAATCATTTAATACTTTTTAAAATAATTAAAAACATATAATAAAATATATTAAATGCTCCTTAACTAGGGATTTGAAAAAATAAAAAGACTGCTTAACGAATATTACTGAGTTATGTCAGTACAGGACCTTTGTCAATCAAATGAGGCGAAAGTGATGGAATTTGATGGCTAGGAAACCTAGTAACCAACTATGCAAATTGATTAACATGAGTGCATACAGGAATGAACTTAAATTTAAATAAATAAATTGGTAAGGTAAAGTGCCACCTAGAAAATTTAGGACCGTAGACTCCATTCTTTTTCGGTGTTGGGTTTCTTTAGACTTTACTGTCATATCACTCATATTTTCAAGTACATGGTAGCGTCAAGAATCAAAATTTGTGTGTGAATTGTAAAACAAATGCAAGCACAAGCACTAAATGATAAAAGCAATCACCCCCAAATCGCAACTACCAAAATATATATTTTTACGTCTCGATTTTGTTTTTTGTATGTGCCTCAATTCTCCAAAGGAAGCCAAAATCTAACCCCACAAAACATATTTACTAACATTTACATACAAATTATTGAATAGACGGTGACTTCCCTTGTGCTTGTAACTATCATTTTAAGCACACTTTCTTTAAAGCAGGTAAACATTTTGATCATTGAAAAGTTGTAAAGATGTCTAGAAAGGCATTAATCGAAAGTTTACAACTGTTTTTATTTTTATACGTACCTTTTTAATTTTTTACTTTTTAAAACTCATCACATCTTTTTTACTGATACGTGATCTAACAAATCAATTGACATAACAATAATATATTAATTATATCATTAGCAAAAATTAAAAAATTTAAGAAAAGACTAAAAATAAAAAAAAAATCTTAAAAATTTAAAAGAAATTTAAGCTTTAATCGAATAAGTACATTGTTTAGATTAATTATGCATTAATGATTGCACGTGCACGGACACCAGCTGTAATCACCTGAACCTTGTCTTTCTAAAATACTACAATCTGCCAAATTTTGATCTGTCATTAAATTATTGAAAGATGGTAATATGGAGAGAGACAATTAAAGCTAATCATGAGAGATACGCTAAGCTGATGTATGTTTAAACTTCATATCTATATACTCGGCCAACCCTTGATCTTGTCCTTCTCATCATGCCCTGGAGCACACACACAAAAGAATCATTTTAGGTCTCTAACTAATTTTAGTTAATACAATCATAGACGACGACATTAGACTTAAAACATATTTTTTAAATTTGCACTAAAAGGCATATGATTAGAATTTATAAATAATTATTTTTACTAAAAATTACAAGATTTTGATAATATTAACTTTTGTGGTTCTTTAAACATATAAAATATTTATTGTATTTTTATATAATTAATACTTACTTTTTAAATAAAACTTTATTGTTTTAGGATGTTTAAAATAATGTTAACATTTTTCTTTGTAGTTTTTTTAATGTGTAGGGCACACAACAAACTATGTATAATAATTTTTTATTAAAAAATTAATATTAAAATTTTTTAATACAATAATAATATTAAATATTATTATCTTTTAAAACTAATATCTATTGATTTTTATCGTGTGGTTTTAGCATATATTAAAAAACTGATAAAACTTAAAAGTATAATACTATACGTACTTTTAATATTTTTTCTAACTAATTTTATTTTTTTATTATTATAATTCACGCAATAAAAATGAATACATATTAATGAGATTAATCTCTAATTTTAATTTAAAAATAATACTAAAAATATCTATAATACTACATATAAATTTTATCATTAAAAAAAACCGTTTCAACCCCTGTAGAAAACGTTTGACATCTGTTTGGGACCTGTTATGAAGTAGTATTAATTTAAAATTAATTATAAATTCATTTATTTTATTTTTATATACTTTTTAATTATTAAAGAAAGAAATATTTAATATATTGAATATTTTAAGATTATATATATATATATATATATATTATTTACTATTTATTTCATAAAATATATTGGTGGATTATTAAAAGAATAAGCAGAAAATATACTAAACTCTTTTGAATGATTTTCAGATCTGTATATCTTGTGCTGTAGGAGAAGTCTACTTGATTCCTAATTTAGTGAGTCTCTGATCGTAAGTGGATTATCCAAACAGAAACCTTCTGTACTGTCTAAGCTAGTTGCTTCAAAATTATGTAAAGAAAGTATTTCACCTATATCATTATGAAACTATTTAGACACTTATAGTTGTCAGATCACAGGGTGACATTTGCATCATCACGAGGAGAGCTTTGAATTCCACCGTCACGTGTAACAGTCAAAAGCTATATGATCGAGAATGAGCTAGCGCAATAACACACTAGTACTCTAGTGTTCGATTTCCATGCAAATTATCTCACACGGCAAGAAATAAATGTTGCTAAGCATCCAGATCATCTCTGCTTGAATATCAAGTTATAATCTTTCAAGAGATAAATGTCACAAATTTTATCATAATTAATTTTATAATCTGTTGATTATATTAAAAAGTTTGTGTCTTGCTCATTTAAACAGAACGAAGTCCAATTATTTAAAAGTTCAATAACAGGAAATCGTTCAAATTCTATTAGCATTCCCTAACTTGTAATAATATAATAATGCAAGAGATTTTCTCTTGCTATTTCAGTTTATACAATTTTTTATTCACATAAAACTTACATTTGTCTTTAAAAGAAAATTATTTTTTTCAGAAGCAAGTCATTTTTATGTGAATAAAATTTTTTAAATTAAAATAGTAAAAAAAATTAACTTTTTCATAATGAAATAGTCCATGGGTGATGACCTCATTTTGACGCGTGTCTCCTTTTCATCTTCACCTCATGAAAATTTGGTGACCTAATTTGGTGAAGCTGTGGCAATAATGGGAGGGTGATTCAGCAAGGGATATTTGACGGCGGATTGCACATAAAAAATATTGAGGTACCAACACAAGCAATAAAGGAGTGAGACTTGGAAGGGTACCTTGAAAGGGGAAAGAGAGAGCAAATAATAGAGAGGGTCACGTGAGGTTTGGAATTGGGAAAGGAAAATGAGAAAGCATTTTCATCACGTAACACGTAAATAAGTGAAGGGACGGCCTAATATTAATTATAGAACTACATCACACCAACTAGATACAATAATGCGTTGAGTTGGCACTCAAATTAGATGCATGGCTTTGGTGTAGTTCAGAATGCAACGTCTTGGATATTAATCATCATAGTTTCATAAAGTCCACTATGCAATAGCATAGCTTGACCATTTACCATGCATGAAAATAATAATAATAAATAAAACCCTGCCCTATATATAAGGGGTCTTCACATTCCCTTTTCTTCCGTGGCAGGCTGTGAACACACTTAGAGCTAGCTTCCCTCCAAACCTTCCCTCTCTTCTCTCCTTTTTCAAGCTAGGGAATATTTCTAAGAGATATTCCGAAACCATGGCTGACGACACTCCTATGGTTTTTATTGTTGGTGTTCTAGGTATCTACACATAAATTAAGCTCATGCATCCAGATTTTCTTATTTTCCATTTTTCACATTATTGATTTTCTGTATATTTAAGCCTTTTCAAAAGAATTAGTTAAAGGTTCAAGATATGGACTAACATGATTTTGTTCCTTAATTTTTTTTAATGTTGTAGGGAACATTGCATCGTTCATATGTTTCCTAGCACCACTGTAAGTAGTACCACGTATTCATTTATATGAATTTGTGATTGCTATAACGATGATTAGTATTCAGAAAGGAGTGCTACTTCAAATCAAACTCTGAACATATACATGCATGTTTTGCAGACCAACGTTTTATCGCGTTTGTAAGAAGAAAACAACTGAAGGTTTCCAATCACTTCCATATGTGGCCGCACTTTTCAGTGCAATGCTTTGGATTTTTTATGCTTATATAAAGACGGGTGAAATACTTCTTATCACCATCAACGCCTTCGGTTGTTTTATAGAGACAATTTACCTTGTCATCTATATCACTTATTGCCCGAAGAAAGCCAGGGTGCGTATATATAATTATAACTAGATGTTGGATTGCATAGCAATTGATGACACACACTATGTTTCAGCCATTATTTATTTATTTTTATATATGATTAGCTTAATTTGAGACTTTGTTGGACTTGCAGATCTTCACATTGAAGATGATTTTCTTGTTCAACTTTGGGGTGATTTTCTTGGTTATTCTTCTAACCCACGTTCTAGCAAAGGAACGAACAGCCCGTATCGAGCTTCTTGGATGGATTTGTGTAGTCCTTTCTACCAGTGTTTTTGCAGCACCTTTAAGTATTATTGTAAGTATACATAAGGAGTATTTGAATAAATAGCTTAATTGTCGATAAGAAAAAGAGAATAAACAGTTTAATTATGAAACCTTATCATCTGTTATGGTTGATCTATACTTATGCATGCATGTTTGATTTTGTTAAATTTCAGAAAGTGGTTATTCGCACCAAAAGTGTGGAGTTCATGCCCTTTACTTTGTCACTTCTTCTCACAATAAGTGCAATTATGTGGCTGTCATACGGTATTCTCCTCAAAGACATCTATGTCACAGTAAGTACTCTAATCCATCCCAAAACTCTTGGGTTTATTTTTCACACTGTCTTTTTTATTACGTCATCAATTATATTTTTACTCTTTATTTTTCATATCTCTCTTCCTTCACCTAAAAAGTGAGTGTAAACGTATAATTTTCCTTAAACCAAGACAAATGAGTGACAAGCCATTTTGATTTCAGGGATATGCTATATATTTCGATTTATTTTTATGTCTCTATCGATAAATAATATACAATTTTAAATTATTTTTTTTCTCTGGACAGCTTCCGAACATAGTGGGTATCACGTTTGGAACAATTCAGATGGTGCTTTATGCAATATACAGAAAGAACACGCCCGTCAAGGATCAAAAGCAGCCAGAAAATATCACTGATGAAAACGTGAATACAACTGTGAGTGGTGGGAATCAGGGAGCAAACACTGGATTCGTTGATATAGAGATTGGAGAGAAGAAGCAAACAGAGAAGAAGCAGGAACAAGGTGTTAATGCTCGTGACCAAATAGAGAACAACACCAAAACGAGGGAAGGCATTTAACTACAACAAAAGAAAGAGGGTTAATTAAGAAGTTTGATGAAGGGGTAGCTAGCTACTACTTGTGCACGTGTTATGCCTCATTCTCTATATCACTGTCTCTCTCTGCCACCCTGTGTTGTTCAAATTCGAGCAAAATCTTAATGGGGGCAGAGATGATATATATAATATATCATATAGAATCATAGATCCATATCTATGGCTATATCTTTTCATGTAGTTATTAGTTTGTGCTTTTGTGTGATTTATGTTTTATTTTCTTTGTGTTGTTAAGCACCGGAATATCAAATAATTCATAGAAGTTGTCAACAAATCTTAATCCAAGGAGCTATCACGCATCGATTGATTCTGCGTGAATAGATAGATTGTGTTTAGTTTTCTTTTTGTTTGTGAATAAATTTTGTGAAAAGGACTTTATGTCAAATAATGAAAATGATGAATAGATTTATTATCTGCTTAGTAAGTAAATAAATGAATACATTTACTCAACGAAGAAGTGTTCGAATTTGAACCAGTTAGCCTTATCATTTTAGATATTAAGAAATTTTGAATTATAATTTTAAAGTTTAATTTTAATTATTCTACAAATTTATTACATTTTAAACGTTCTTCAGAAAATAATAAAATATAATTTTAATTGACTAAGGAGTTTTGACTGCAAATTATAATTAATCATTTTTAAAACTTGTCAAATTAATAACAAAAAAGTAAAATTAGTGTTTTCATCCATTAATTTTAAGGTAAATTTTTATTTCATCTTCAAACTTTATTTTAATTTACTTTAGTTCTTTAATTTTTAAAAACATTTTAAATATATCATTTTTTATAAAACAAAATTATGCTATATGTACATGTATGGTTCATCTTTTTCTTCAAATTTTTATAGAGGTGAAGGATTGCTCATAGGTGGACAAGTTTAACAAATTGTGACTCAAATAGAGTTGGAGTAATTGGTGGTCCAACTAAGAACAAAACTCAAAGGCTTCCTTGGAGAAGGTGCAACAAGTGGCATTGTAAGTAAGCGGTAAATGGTGGTAGCATAATCTTTTCATTACTTAAAATTTTGAAGAAGAAAAAAGAAAAAATAGACAAAAAGAGAAAGAGAAAGGAGAGAAGGAAGATATGAAAGAAAAAATTTATGAAAAGTGCACGAATAATACATTTGATAGAGAAGACAAATTTTTAATGAAAAATGATCAATTTGAATTATTTTTAAAAGTTAAAAAAATAAAATGAATCAAAATAAATTTTAAAAATAAAATCAAAATTAAGGATAAGATTCGAATATATTTTCTAAAAGTTAAATTAGAAACGATTTTACTTATTAGAAGTACACGTTTGGTGGCTTAAAGGCATTTTTATCACGCTGTGTACCTAGATAGTTATTAGTTTAGCAAATAATTGCTGGAATCTTGCGTTCTTATATAAAAATGTATGAAAATCATGAAAAAAATTGTTACGTTCGTTAGAATAGTATAAAAAATAAGTGACCAAGTCTTTATTTATTTTGAGATGATCTAAATTTATGTACTCTAACGTCTTTGAGTAATTAACTTTAAATATAATTTAGTGATAATAGTTTAAAGCTATGGATAAAGATGTGTGTTATTAAGTTAGTCACAATATGATTTAAGGAAAACAAATTCAAATTTGATGAGATATTATTATTGAAAACATGTTAATTTAAATTAATTGTATTTATGAATGCTTTTTTTCTTCTTCTGTCCAATCTAAAACTACCCTAGCCACATCTCAAATGAAAATTTTAACTACAACTCTTTGGATACACCATTGTTACCCGTTTAAGGTCGATTTTGCCATATTTTAGACCCAAAAAAAATCTCATTTCTTCTTTACCTGTTTTCTTTTTGTCTTGAGCATTATATTGTGATGTTCTAACGTGTTTTGTTTTTTTTTTTTCATTGAGCATTACATTGTGATGTTCTAACGCGTTTGGTTTTGAATACATAAGTTCGTTATAGTGTTACATTAATGTTAAAGAGCATGTTCAATTTCTAATTACGCAATGTTAATTATATTTTGTTTTTTATTGATAGAGTTGGTGTTTGAAGGAAGTGATTACCTAAGAGAATGAAAGGAGTAAATTAAAGGAATTAAAGTTGATAAAAAGGAGAATAACTTAGAGAAAATAAATACGCTGAATGAATGAGAGGAAGAAAGAAACTCTGGACCTCTTGCACAATTTCACCAAAATTGAGCGTCTCTAGATTATTAGGTGGATTCCTACTTTACATTTCTGCCATTGCTTGGCATGGAGGTCTATTTGGTTCAAATAAGGCATAGAGGTAATATATGGCTTATTGTGGAAGGGCTAAGACTTAATTTCATGCCGGTTTGGGTTAATTGGAAACCAACCATGGCAAAGAAGTGAAGCAATAAAACACATATGAGGTTGCAACCGAGGAACAATGATCAAGCAAATGATGTCCAAAACCTATAACAGAAGTGGAAGGGTAATCAAATGCTGACTCGAGAGAATGAAATGGTTATTGTACGTAAATTTCCCATACCGAGGAAGAAACGAAATGTTTACAAATTTCTGATTTTAAAAACATGTTTTGGGACTTGGTTTTTCAAAACTACGATTGGAAACAATTATGATAAAGATAAGTTTTTTTTTAATGACAACTATTTGTAAGAATAATATTTAAATAGACCAACGTTGTGAAACTTCAATGTATTATCAGGTTTTCACTTTTCTTTTTATTTTCTTTTTCGCACATTATGAGTTGCTGAATTCTCTTGTTAGCTAGGGGATGGGAAAGCTCAACCTAAATCTTCGTAATTGAAAATTATTGTTAATAATTTAAGTTCGTTTGATCCTATTGAATGGTCCCTTCTATTCTTCTTATTTTAATAAATTGACCATTCGTAATTGATGTTAAGTTTTTAGTTGTAATTGAAAAATTAGACAAGGGATTGGAAATAAGGCTAGACAACATAGTTTATAATGCTTTAGGAACAGATAACGATATTATTAATTGTGAAATCTTTTAGATTAATAATTTTAATTTTTTTAATTAAAAAATAGAAAAGGGATTAATATTTTTAATTGAGAAAAAATGTTGATATACGTTAGAAATTATTAAATTTTAACTATTCCTAAGAACTTGATCTTCTATATAATTTTTGGATCTTAAATTGAGATGGTTTGTAGTTACTTAAGCGAAGGTCGAAAGTACTGATGTGCTAACATCATTTTAACTTAGTTTATTTTTTTTATAACCACAATAAGATATCTCATTTATTAAAAATATTAAATTAAGTAAATAAAAAATTTATAGACTAATAATTTATTTAATTTTTTTACATTTTCTAATCGCTTAAAAACTTGGTGTCATATTTAAAATATGAGTATTTATATTTAAAAAAGTAAATTAATTATACTCTTTGAAAAGTATAAACCTTTATAATGGTATACAAGTATACATCTGTGTCATTGAATCAAAATCATTCAATGTAAATAGCGATGAGCCACTGGCTACATACATAGGCAAAATATTTAACCATCTTACAAAATTATTGAAACTTGAGAGGGACCCATACACTAAAATGAGCGATTCGCCGCAAATTTCTTGTCAATGAGCAGTGAAATTGTAGTTTGTGTTATTTAGTAAATACTGAAGACTTGGTTGTTTTATAACAGAAATTAATTCTTTTTGTATATATATGTTTTAATTATGATTTAAATCAATTAAGACAAACAGTTAATTTATATTTAAAGGTTTAATGTTAATTTTATCTAAAACAAGCAGATACTAAATTAATTTAGAAAGAATAAAAATCACTTCTTAATTTTTATTAAGCTCCTGCAACCATAGTTATTAAATTCAAATTGGTCTTAGCTAGGTATGAAATTAATCGAGCGGTACTACTAACATGCAAATATTTGAACTTGGACCAAATATAAATGAAAATCAGACAATCTTAAAAATTTAACATTGTTTGATGGCAGAAAAAATTAAGATTAATTCATTAGACTAATTAGTTCACTATCTATTATTAACTGAAAGAAACCCTGACAATTAAGCTAACACTCAATATATGTGATTTGATTCTATTACTTCTCAGCTAAATCATTCTATTTGTGGTGCATCTGCCATTGAGCGTAATTGGAGGGCTTCTTTTTTGCAGAACATGAAAATCACAGAGTAGTAAATCCCTACGTACAAGCCATTCGTAGGTGAACCTCTTGTCATTTTTAAATTAGAACAACTTCATATCAATTAAGCAATACCATGCCACCATTTGATCTAAACACTTCATGGTTTTAAGTGTTTTGAATTATTTTCTAACTCAACGATAGATTTAGTGTTACAAACATTATTTTGGGGGGTACATGGCAAGCATTATACATATTTCTTTCTTTTTAACATGACGCGATGCCTGTTCTAACTTTAATAATATTATATTTATTTTCATCACTTTCTATCCTTTTCATCTTATCTACCAAAAGAACACAAACAGTTAGGAAGTCTATAACTATCATTAAATCTTAATTAATTACACCAATTAATGACATGTCAAAAGCATATATATGTGCCTATGTCATCGATTTCCCATATGTAAAGCCTTTTCTTTTTCCTTTTAAACCTCCTCTTTGATTCACCTTAATTCGTTCAATTAACTCAATAACGCGCAACCATGGTGGATTTCACTAACAACCACTAGAGTGAAGCAATTTCTAAGGCCTTTCAGCTAGAAATCGAACCCAGTGAACCTCATCTACATATAATTAGTCATTTATTACCTTATGTAAATGCAAAATACAAAAACAACTAGTTATTTGAATTACAATAAAAATGCACGCTAAAGACTAAATATGGTGTCAATTATTACACTTACGTCAACTTATTTGTGTAACACACAAATAAAAATTTATTTATTTTAAAAAAAGTTAGATCAAAAAACATTTTTCTAATTTTACGTATGTGTATCTGTTTTTTTTTTATTTCTTTCTTAAAAACTCTTAAATTAAAATGAATAAAAAATTGTGAAAGAAATTATTGATATATTTGTTCTCATGATTTGTTATTACATTTAAATATAATTTTTTAATATAGTTTTTAAAAAAATTATAATGAAAACTTGTCCTCCATTCCGCATTCTTCCAAGGCGCAGAAGATGGACCATTATCCTCTGCTATGCTTTGGTCAATCAATTATTTTTCTATTTTGAAATAAACCAAAAAGAGAATAATAACACCTACTTGGACTGGTAAGTGCCCATGTGGGAACTTCTATGGCTAAGGCTTATCAGAGTGACGTGGTAGTTAGTTATAGAGTTGTTAAATCAGTTGCAACCAATAGTAACATAACAGTTCAGGTTAATTAGTCAATAAGGGTATAAGTAAATTATATTATAGTGTAAATAATCTGAACTTAAATGAAATGACGAAATTTTATCTATAAAACGTTGATATAGACATAGTTTTACTACAATATTTTAATTTTATTAATTTATATAAGATGACATTGTATATAAACAAATAATGGCTTGATTTCATTCCAAAGACAGAAAAAAGAAAAAAATTATATGTTTTTTCCCACCACGTTTTGGATACTCCCTATTTACTCCTCTGTATCTTTCTCTTTCTTATCATTTATCGTTTTGTCTCTCTTTCACCCCAACACTCATGTTCTAAAAGAAAAAGATAAGAATATCTCTCTACTCCAAAGAAAAGGATTCTCTCTCTCTTTCCGATTCACTCTTGTCCTTGTTTCTGATTTATAACTTTTAATCTCTCCCCTGATTCACACTCATCCTCACAAAGAATCTATTCATTTATTTTATTTACATTTTTTTTTTTTTTTGTATCCACATGTTTTAAAAATACACCTTAATTTACATATAAAAGATATTCCCCTTAGCAGTGCAAAAAATATTTCAAAAATTTTAAAGCCTCTACCAGTCTACAGAATGATACTTCGAGTTGGTGAATTGATTGCCTCGATAGTATATATGAATTTGTAAATAATTCCATAATCATGTTGAGCATGATTTTTTTTTTCTTTTCAAGTAAATAATCATTTTTAAAATTTTTGTCAAGAAGCTGTATCTGATAAGAAAAGTTAAGAGGCTGTATTTTTTTAAAATAAACTAATATAAATTCGCACAATTTAAATTTGGAAAAAGAAACAGCACAGACTTTTGTGAAACTTGCTCTGTATTTAGATTTTTTATTTTTATTTTTAAATAATTATAAACAAACATACACCATACTATCATAAAAATGTAAAGAAAGAGAGTGGGTTGCTTTGATTAAATTACATTATATCACTCAAGCATAGTTTAAGGGAACTTAAATAAATGAATTAGTGATTCACCTGTGAATCGGATGTTTGTAATATTATCGATATTAGTTATTAGTAAGATTGTTTCATTTGCCTTAACTTATTATAAAATCTTATCGAAATTAATGGTTTTCTTAACTTTAAAATGGAAAGAATATTTTATTAACTAATTATGATTAAAAAAGAAAAAACTTCAAGTTCATGTTCATTATGATAAGGAACACTTTTGGAATCCATTCTATCTGTTGCGGTAATAATTCAGAGTTTCATACATCATCAATGATCATAAATTAAAGTTAAACATGATCTTGTCTTCCACCTTTTCGTCCCTTTTGGCAATTGCTTTGATAATTTTGTAATAAAAATGTGTCCTACCTTAGAGGAGAGATTACATTCAATTAATACTCGTGTAGGCACCACTGGACAGTGCTTTTTCACATGGTTCATATCCAAAGTAGTGGGAATATACAGGGTGCTCCTATTCACTTTGCAATGGCGATATGCAAAACAGAAAAAGTGAATCTTTTTGGTATTAAAATATTATTGCATCCATGCACTCGTAGATAATATCATATCCTTTATTCATTATTGGTTCAATTAAAAACTAAGCTGACGTCAAGAAAAATAATTTTTGACAATGAAACCCTTGTGAGTTCCTTCACATCGAACATATACAGGAAAAATAAAAAATCATCATTATCCTTTTCTCTCTTTTTTCTTTCAAATTTTATGGGGGGTCGAGCTCACGTCACCACGCTTTGCATGCCATCACAAATGAATTATATTAACACTTTCTTCCCACCGTGGAATAGAATCTCACACTAAATTCAAGTTAATTAATTGAATTATTGAAAAATTTTACACGATTTTAATTTATGCCGTACGCACTGGCTCCTGTCCTTACCTTATATATTTTTTGTTGGGTAACCATGCGTTTGCTCAAGACAACATAGAAAACATCAAAATTCTAAATGTGCTTTTATTTTGGTCATATTATATCTCTTACTACACTAAGTTTCTTTAAATGGTTACGAGTTAATCTAACTACATAACTTTGTATTCCTAGCTTTTTGCGAAGGTGGAGAGTATATAAAAACGATGATATGGATAAGGGAGTGAGGGTGTTTGCCAATAATATAATATGACTTTTCATTCATTACGGAAATACGAATACCTATATGCGAATTCACTCAACTATCGCCTATGGTTAAATGCCACAAATTTCACACACTGGCCACTGCTTAACCCGGCTAGGAATATTGTGAAATGGTAGTGTGCATTGCGGCTAGGTCAACAAGCAAAGGTGTTTCTCGTTTAAGTAAGACAGCATATTCTCCATCATGAAGTTGAGCTTGTTTATCCACCGTTCATTCCCTCCTTTATGACAAATAAGTTAAGATCGGAACCATCAAATGCGATTACACATCAAAAAGAAGATACCCTATTGCTAGTTAGCTAGTGCGATTCTGAATTTTACGAATGGGAGGGAAGAGTATCTCTTAAACCTCTCAAGAATCCTACTGAAAAAATGAATGGGAGCAAGTGGGTTCAGTCTACATATAGTGTAGACTTTCCTCCAGTGCATTACAGTGCACAATGACAAATTTGGCTGTGTATCTCATTATGATTTTATTTGGTTTTTTGTTACTAGAGCCCATTATACGGTTTTATAAAGGAAAATGCATGAGAAATAGTTTTGAGATGATTGAATCTATTTAGTTACCTAAAATGTTTTCGATTTTTATTTTTATTTTCATTTTTTATTATATAACGATTTTGTTTTGAGTGTTTTCTACATAAATATTTTAAAATTGTAAATAAAAACCTAGCAAGCCTTAAACTTTTCTATTTTTCAACAACTTTTCTCTCTCTTGAAATTCTAATTCTCTCTACTAATACCCTTATCTCCCTCGTATTGATTAAAAATTCATTCATAATACTTTTCACGAAAAATTATTGGCGGCAACTCACATTGTTGTTTTAAAAAATTAAAACCACTTTTGTGACAAAAGAAGCTCGAAGGAAAGAACAAATGAGTATGTATATGGAAGGTGGCGCGAGGGACCAGGGCTAAGCCAATTATAGGATGTGCGCGATGTACAAGAATTCCATTTATGTCAATTTTGAATTAATGATATAATTGGAATTTTTCGCTATTGATTTTTTAGTTATTGGTAGTCCAAATCTTTTAGTAATGGTCATAACTTTAATTAAATATCAAATTACCAATTTACGTGAAATTATTGCTGGTATTGATTGATTAATCCCTTAGGGGTAACATGCGGTGATTGAGAAGCAAAGGAAAATTGGACGGAGGAAGCATATATACATACATATATATATATATATATATATATATATATATATATATATATATATATATATAAACAATAGAATAATTCGAATATGGGTGTTACATCATCCCCTCATTTGAAACTTTATGGTGGCTGGCTGCCCAATTATTAAAAAGAAACACGTTTATTATTAATATCAACATAAGGAGTAGCACAAATTCATTTGCCTGTCGCTAACCAGAGTTCATAAGGTGGACCCGGAATCATATTGCCAAAGATATGGTGATATTAGAGATTACCACGGTAACATTTTTATGGTAAGAAGTGTATAAAATTTGGAGTGGTAGAAGAGTGACAACCTGACCCTTAGGGAGAGGAACGAGGCAAGGTGGTATAATACAAGTTTTTGTACCCAGTCCCAAAGTATGAGTTGTAAGGCTTTAAGCCACTTGGTGGGTGACACATCAAAAAGAACCAAGGTGGGCCATGGGAATTTTTTGTATGTACAGTAATAGTACTAGTTTACATGATTTACCCCGTGAGAGGGCGTTTGTGTTGAAGAGATTTGAACAAATGAGGTTAGAGAGAGTAATAGGGTAAGAAAGGTATTTGGATAGTGTTAAAGTAAATGGCATTTGGGAGGAACAACTGGAAAGTGTGTTAGCAACTTGAGCCACCCCTCCATCCTTTTCTCACCTATAAATACCGTCTCACTATATGCATATCGATTCGTGGGATTTAGAGAGAGAGAGAAATAGAGATAGAGAGAAAGAGCTTTAACCGAGGGTGAGCGTGACAGAAATTTATAGAGAGCACTAATCCAATAGTTCTGTTAGATTCAAGAGATGGCCATGCACCGCGAGTCTTGGGCTTTTGTGTTCGGCCTTATGGGTAGATACCAGCTCCCTTTAGTTACAGTTGATTGTTTGTAATTCTTTCATTAGCGTTTGCACCTTCAATTATAATCCACCTATCTCTAATGCGCCACATTATTCATCATCATCATCTTAATTTAGCCTCTTTATTCATCAAGTTTGGTATCAAATCTTTTTGTTGATTATATTCAGCGTGTTTGCAAATTATAATACCTAAAGTTAATGTCAACTTTTTTCTACTTAGAATCGTATTATAAATTTTATTATTTATTACTGTAGCAGTTGGTAGAATTTTAGAATCATTAACAGGAACCTTAGGCAGCATGCATATTGTATGGCATATTTCTAATTTCAATCCTAATGCAGTTAGGAACTAAGAACAGCACAGGATAAAAGTGTATTGTCGATAAATATAATTATACCATATAGGATTAAATTAGATAATTAAGTTACAACATTTAGAGTTTATCAATTCCAACCGTGCAATACTAAAGATATCAATTATATAAGTAGGGTGAATGAAATAACAATTGTGGTTAGATACCATTTTTTTCCCCTAGTGCTGATGGATGTTTCTTTTTGCTGTTGTTTTTATAGGCAACATCATCTCCTTTATGGTGTTCCTTGCTCCATTGTAAGTGATTTTTTCTTTCTCTTTTTTCTTTTGGTTTTGTTTTAGCATGATCCTTGTAATCAATCATTGAGCAAGCTAATTGAAGTAATTTCATCAACTATATAATTATTTGCGTGTAGACCAACTTTTTACCAAATATACAAGAAGAAATCCACTGAAGGGTTCCAGTCACTTCCTTATGTTGTTGCACTGTTCAGTGCAATGCTTTGGATTTACTATGCATTCGTCAAAAAGGAAGCTGCCCTCCTTCTCATCACCATTAACACGTTTGGAATTGTTGTGGAATCAATTTACCTAGCAGTGTTTCTATTTTATGCCCCAAAGAAGGCTAGGGTATTTAACTTATAACATGTTTCTCTTTTTTTTTTCTTTTTAACTTTAATTTTACACCAAAATTAAATCTTTATAATTTATTATAATTAATATCTCTTTCTGTATTTGGCGGGATCACAGTTTTCAACCATCAAGCTTCTTCTCTTGCTGAATGTGTTTGGGTTCGGAGCCATGCTTCTATCAACTCTTTACCTGTCAAAGGGAGCAAAGCGTCTTGCTATCATAGGATGGATTTGCCTGGTTTTCAACATAAGTGTTTTTGCTGCACCTCTCTTCATCATTGTAAGAATTTTACAAAACCTAATTAACAATAATTTCTTTTTGCATTTGGAAATCTTTTGCAGTTTATACACACACAGATGAGCCAATGATTAATTAAATTGTTATGATCAATTCATGCAGAGGCGAGTCATAAAGACAAGGAGCGTGGAGTACATGCCATTTACTTTGTCCATGTTTTTGACCGTCAATGCTGTTATGTGGTTCTTCTATGGCCTTCTTCTCAGGGATTATTACGTTGCTGTAAGTTCAATGCTATACTCCTACGTACGGCTAGAAGCATATTCATAATTTTGAAACCTTTGATCTATTGTATTATTCTTACAAATTAAGTCGTATACGTGTTTTGCTCACTTTGCCCATTCCTTTTTTGGGTACATCCCTTTTGCTTTTCAATTTGCTTTATTTGTGATAATGTCGAATTAATTATAGCAACAAAATTAAATGTTTGCGTGCTCCATTAGTGTGGAGTTCCCATGAATAAATCCAAGTGCAGTTATGGACCCCCCCCCCCCCCTTCCCCCTCCTCTCTCCCTCATCCTAAGTAGTACTTATTGTTTGATTATAACAACTTTATGTGTAGGACTATCTAATTTGATTCTTTTCTTCTTTTTGGATAAAGAGAAGCATAATATAAAGTTTGATTAAATAATTTTTTATTAATTAATGTTTGCATTTGGATGATGCAGCTTCCAAACACACTTGGGTTTCTGTTCGGCATAGTTCAGATGGTGATGTATTTGATATACAGAAACGCCACGCCGGTGGCACTAGAGGAGCCAGTGAAAGCTCAAGAGTTGAATGGCCACATCATTGACGTTGTGAAAATGGGCACCGCAGTACCTTCCGACCCGAATCATGCATCTACTCTGAGTGCTGTTAGCAAAGTCTGAATTCACCAATGACAATATGAACGTGGAGAAAAAAAAAAGAAATCGGTGACAAAAAAATTATAAAAAAAACAATTAACCTAAACGTTCAATTACTTTACTGAGTGAGGTCACATCTCATCTCACTCATATCTAAAATGCGAGAACAGTACGTAGTCTTTGGTATAAGTGTTTGGTTTTATTAATGTAAAGGTGTGGTTTAAATTTGCCTGTTCGGGTAGCTGTTATTGTCGGGTAGTCATGTAAGCAAAACAAGCTTAGCGCTTGGGCTCTCTTTGGCCCATATCACTCTCATATTGTACTACTACGTGTAACGTAGTATATTCTCTTCTCTAAGTGTATCCCTCAGTCAAACTCATTTCAATTCACTTTTCCCTTTGTATACGTAATCAATGTTCAAGTAATGAAAATTAATTATTTTAGTAACTTTGCTGTGTACCGATACTTAATTAGAAATTTTTATTTATTTATATTGAGTTTAATCATCATTGTCCAAATTATGACAAATTGTATTAATAATTGCCCAATCATTTATAATTATATGTTTATCATAAGTAGTTAAAGCGATGGAGAAGTGGATTCCTTTTGCTTTTCATATGTGTCATACAAGGGGGCAGATAAGCCCTCCTAAAAGCTCTTTTCTTAGAAAAAATACATTGTATATCTTGATGACAGCATCGTTCCAAATTGCTGACAAAAACGCCGGACATTATGATTTATGGTACTAATATAATCAGGTCCTATTCCATTCCATCTTAAAAGGGAACGTGTTAAAATAAAGCAATACCAATAATTTGAAATTAAAAAACCTACGGATCAGAACGCCAAAGCTATGAACATTGACTCTTAATTAATTAATTCAAATTTACTTAAGAACGTTTGCTCAAAGCACCAACCCTAAGATATATATATGTATGAGAAAGTCAAAACAGAAAAAAAGTGCTCATGATGATGAACCGTAAAAGTGAATGGCTCAAGGCCAAGGGAACCCACACATGTCTTACTGTCTTCCTTTGCTGGCACCTTCCTCTCTCTCCCTTTTGCATTTTTTTAAATAAACAAAACACTTTTTCTCCTTTTTATTTTTCTTTCACTATTGTCTTGTGTTATCACCTGGTAACTAGATAGTTCACGTTGAAATAGTAACGATTTTATGTAATGATTTGAATAGGGTATTAAATTCGTTGTGACTCAAATTCACCTAACCCGTTAAAATATGGATCCCACTAGAAATTTTATACTTATTAACTCATTTAGTATGTTTTGTTTTAGTGTTTTAAAAGCTGGTTAAGAATGAGATGAAGTGGGCTGGTCCATTGAGCGCATTTTAAAAATTTATTACAATAAAATATAATTTTTTATTAATATAAAAATAATTTTTTTATAAATTATTATTAGTTTTTATTTTTTATGTTAATTTTAGATGAACTAATCCGTTAATCCAATTTTATTTTTATCTTTTAGGCTTTGAATAGTTTACTCAATAGTCCACTGATACACATTTAAATAAATTGGACTAAAAAATTTAACTTACTTTAAAAAATGGGATGAACCAAGTGTTTTTTTTTAAGGCGAGTTGGGATGAGCTAGCTTACTTTGACACTCTTTTTGAACAAATTATACGCGTGTGAGATTAATTAATTAATTGTACATGTACGATATGATCATATTATTATCCATTTTGTGTTGCAGTTAAGTTGAAGTAATTAATAATAATACATTTTTTATTAAAAATAAAACATTAATTATATGTTATATTTTTAAAATGATAATTTTTTTATTACTGTTAATTTTTAAAAAAAATGTTTAATTCTTTGAGAGGGTCGGATATTTTGTATCAAATAACTTAAATTTCAATACTTTTATAGTCTCACCACTTCATGTTGGCTGAGATTAGCATTTTCCTATTACGTTTTTTTAATGTGTAATTATTCTTGGTCAGATATTTTGTATCAAATGACATAAAATTTGATGATCTTATATTGCCCCACCACTTCATGTTTCGTGGTATAGCCTCCCTTGCAAGGTAGACACACTGACCGTCTCAAAATTAAAAGGCATATAGAGGGATGAAATTTAAAGAAGACAAAGTTGGGATTTGTATTTTCTTTTTCTACTTACTTTCTGTCAATTCTCCATTTGAAAAGCTTAAACCTTTTGTGTATGTGTCGTTAATTTGTATATGCTTTTAATCAAATGTCGCGTTCTAATCTAGAGACGAAAATTATGAAGGATTTGTTTCAAATGGCTCAAATTTTTTTAAAATTTTGGGAGTGGGGGGATAAACCCAATTAAAGGGAAATGGTAGGCAGAGGAAAATGCACTAACTAAACGTGAAACGAAAGAATGGGCCACGGAGAGAGAGAGAATGAGAGAGATAACGCACCAAAGGATGACTATGCGTCTCAAGATAAGCATTTGAGGCCTTTACGTAAATAAGTGAGCCAAGGTTGATCTAAAAGTTGCCTATGATTGTGCTGAAAGATAACCTTGCCATGCACAATACATGGTTGGCTTGTTCCCGTGATCGATCCTACAAGCAGATGTGCCACCATGCATAGATAAGGGGTGATGTAATAAACCACTTGTTGGGTACCTTTAAAGACCCCCTCAAATCCCATTAGAGTATTTGTCAACCATCAAAACCTGTCTTCTTCTATTGCTTTATTTGTTTTTATCCAAACGTCAATGAAATGATCGTCGTTCATTACATAGCATGGGGGTGACAATTCAACCTCTAAGATATGCCATTCCTTGCTTTTCATACTTTCTAGTGGCTAACCTCAAGTATTAGCCAATGATTGCCCCATAATGCTGTCCTAGATATATTTGATTTGGTTTTGGTTGATTTGATTTTTCAGTGACTAGGCCTGTACCATGTGTCATGCATCAACTTTGTGGTGGACCTAGCTTAGCTCATTCTTTACTTCAATCATATCTTACTCTTCCTACCTTTTATTGTCTTTTCTCCTTTCTCCGTTTAAATGTTTCCATCAGTTCAGTTACGGTGGCTGGAAATTCATCTTACTACGTGTTCCATTCGATCCTATCATTTTGTGCCACATGACCAATTTCAGATTTTATGTTCCTACTTTGTTGCTTCCCCTCGCTCTAATGAAATCAATCTGACAAAGAATACAAGATATCTGCTACCTGATCATGTGCTCGCATATAACCTATTTCTAACTTATTGAATTTCATTTCTCAACATTCATTATTACATGTCCTATCGTATCAAGCAAACTATATAAGATTTGGCCGTAACACAATCACGCCACTAATTAAGGTTCATCCTTAATGACTAATGCACTACTAAACTTTATTTCGTTCAGTATTAATAATATGATTTTTCAAATCTACAAACTTTCCTTAAATTGTTTAGTTTTAATTTAAAACTTTAACAAACTTCCTTGTCCCCCACCCCCAAATAAATAAAGACAAAATCACTCAGGAATGAGAATAATTTAAGTTTTAAAATTAAGTGTTAATAACAATTCGATCTCAATAATATCACTAATCAATAATGATGAAACAGCTTCATTAATACATGGTTCTCAAGGTTGTTCGATTCTTTGTTCGATGACGCTATGCATTTTAGGTATGATTTGTAGTTCTTCGATTACTTATAGAAAGACTCTCATCAACTTATAAATAATCTAACTTACACGTTTAAAATTATATTATTTAAGCAACCAAATCAAAATATATTGCCTTGCAAAGGTAGCGTTACAAAGTAACGTATGTTAAAATAATCATTTTAAAACTATGATTGTATTAAAATATAGAATAAAATTACCTTTGCTGTGTAATTGTACGAATTTTTTAATTTGAAGATTGATTGGCACTTTTGGTAAAGTTGTTTTTATAATGTCAATTGTAATGGTTATCCTTGAACCCACCTTTAAAATATACTTTCTAACCCAAGAAGGAAGCTTTGGTGGGTTACTACCACTGCAATCATTTTCGATTTTTACAGTTAACACTGATTCTGAAAGTCCAAACACAAATAAATATACCATATAGTTGCATTATATTCCGGACTACTTTTGACTTAAAAGTGAATCTTCTCGTAGCAAAATTTAGACCAAACTACCTGTGTAAATAAAGGAGAGATTCTTTATAGTATTGGATTCAGTCCCCTTAAAATTGATAATTTATAAACCTCATGAAAATAATTATATACTCTTTATTCTAAACTTGTTCTGTGCAGTGGACCTCACAAAAGTCATTTTAGCTTCATTATACAGATTAAAAAATTAGATCTAAATTATACTGTCCACATCTTTTGCGTAAACAATTTTGGGTACACTCCTTTTATGTAGACTACATATGTACCCAAAAAATTGCTGTAAAAAGAAAGACTATAGATTGAAAGCAATATTACTCTTCCACGTCCCTTGACTCCCCTTTTCATCATAAAAAAATAAAAATAAAAATAAAAAGTACAATTTTTTTGTAAAATAAAGTTTGGTATTAAACACTGAATTTATCAAACACAAAACCGACCACGTTATTATTCATAGACTAATTTAATTTTCTAACATAAAATTACACACACCCTTCTACGATTTTTTTTCATAAGAGTTAATTTCATTTGAAGTATGATTTGAACACTAAACGTGAATGCTTCTCTTAATAGGGATACCATAATTAGTATACTTTGTGAGAAAACTACTCCTTCTAGTAATTAAATTCAACTTGGTAAGATGTGCAAACAAAGTTTCACAATAATTAAAATTAAAGAGGATAAAAAACATATAAGTATGATAGATCTCTATTAATATGAGACCTTTTAAGTAATGTTTAAAAATAAAACTACAAAAATGGATAATATCATAGTAGTGTGTTTATACTTATTCTAACATCACAATTGATAATCAAAACAATGATTTGAAAGAAAAAAACATCTTGACATACGAAGTTCTTTAAAAAAAAGTTGTGAGTTTAATTATATATATATATATAATTTTTACAAAATTAAATAAACATGTAACCTTATAATGTAAAAAAAAAAAGTTATTAGTTTTAATTATGTGAACAATATAAAATAAAAATTGATTTATCAAAAGTCAAACGTTGTTAAAATTGCATGTGGTGTTTAATATTTTCTTATTTCAATTTTTTTAATTTTTTAATTTAATTAGTTTTATTACTTTGGACAATTAAAGACATTAATTACCAATTTTTAAATTCTATTCTTATAACCATTGAAAACTTTAATCTTTAATATCTTTTTAGATCCTCATTTAGTCTTGATTTTTTATAAAATGTCAATTGTTTTAGCTTTTAATATCAATAAAATATGAGATGAATAATGACTAGTGTGAATGAAATTTTATAAAATTATGGATAAAATGATGATTGAAAAAAGTTAAGAAATAAGATGAGCAATACTTATAATTTTAAGAATTAATACGATAATTCACTCATTTCTTTTATTTTTATATTTTTATACTTAAATTAAAAACTTAGTACAGTGTACAAGATACTTATTATTTCATTACATGATAAGTTAGTCGTAGAGAATGGACTGTGGCATAAGACTTTCAAATGCAAATTTTATATATGTACACAAATAGAAATAAATATAATTTTTCACGTGAAAAATCATAGTTATCTAACATACGATAATTGCATTTGTTTTGGAAACGTTAACTCAAAACCCAAATTTCGAACTTTGAAGCTGGTCCATACTCCACACACTCGAGACATCTGTTCCAAGTAGCATGCCTTAATAAACTTGGCTTCGTTCCACCCTCCAATTTTGTCGGCAAATGCAAAGCATTCACGTTAAATCATTAATGAACGTGGTTTGACCGGGAAAAGTTAATACAAATATACTACGAAAACATGTATTTGTAGATGTAGTCATCTTCAAATAGAAAACATCTCACCTCTTCTCTGCACCTTTCCCCGTTCAACACAGAAAAAGCAATCCACAATACTAAAGAAAGCTGAAAATAAAAAAAGAATTAATGTTCATTTTTGTCCTATATACCTCGAATATTTGAGAATCAATGAACACATGCATAGTTGGTTCAGCTGGCAATGATCAAAGCACTGTCCCTGTGAATCTGTGCTTTGGCTGCCACCCTCTTGCACACATCATTGTTCCAAATTACCCTTGTCGCAGCTGCAGTTATGCTGTAATAATTAAAAGAGCTTATACTCTAAGAAAGTTATTTTTAACCTATTGTAATAAATTTTTGTATAATTTATTAAAATAAAATATTTTTAACTTATATTAATAAATTTTATTATTTTAAAAAACTTATTAAATAAATTGTGTATCAAAACACATTCTAAAAAAATTAACTTTGACAGCTTTAAAAATTTATTTTAAATAAATAAATAAAAATAGTAAATTTTATTTAAAATATTTATTGAATAAAAACTATAATATATAATAACTTTTATTTTTAATAATATTTTTTTATTTTTATGTACTTAAAATCAATCTTAAGAATTTAATAAAAATATATAAAAAATACTAATAAATGTAGTTTATATTGGTGCAATTGCAGTAAGCAGTGATAGTGACCACCAAAAAACTTGATGCTGTTGCAATTGTAGTTGGGGACCGCAATTTAACTCTAATCACATGGACAACTACCATTATAGTAGATATCTATCTAATGATCAAACAGCGTGCACAGAAGTAAGGTTAGATTTATACTGTGCTATTGCATATTTGCATGTTTCTTGAAGACTATAGCTAAGCTTTGCCCAATTAGGTTATGGACACTCATATACCCATCTGGGTCCAAAATGTTGAATTCGCTGTAGCCTTAGATCTTCATGCCAGTAATATCAGCTATTACAAAAATCAATTGAAAGCAAATTCAGTGATTCACAAACCAAGTTAGTAGATGATGATTGCTATTGAGTATTGATGAAAAACCAAGTTCTCACTTTTTACAAAAAAAGTATTAATATAAAACACATCTACTTTAACCAACTGTCTTGTAATGGCCAATCTAGTTCCCCAAAACAAACATTAAATATTCTTTTGAAACAATGGTGGCATCAGCAAAGTCGTTATATTCATGCAGAGGGAACTTTTTGCAGCATCAACTTCAACAGAAAAAATGAGCACTGATATATAGCTGTTCTTAATTATTTGTATGCAACATTCAATCATCTACATAAGTTTTCTCTTGACCTTTCTCGAACTATGTTCTTGTGATACAATTGTGACAAGCTAGACGAGATTAGACCATAAGTGAAAATCTACTCTTTGACAACCAACTTTTTATGATGCTCTTGCTGCTACAGACAGCAGAGCGAAAGGATAGAGCATAAGAAAAGGCACTCTTTTCAGGAAAATAAAAAAAGTTATGCATCCTTTACAATTTACATTATTACAAATGAGAAGTAAATATTTTAATCACTAAGATACAAGTTTTTTGTTTTTTGTACACAAAACATCACTGCTAAAACCTCTATTGGATTTGTCTTCACGTTCATTGAGCACTTTTGCATAAAAACTTAGTGTCAGATCGAAAGAAGTATCTGCCATTAAGAAGTATCAGGAATCGACCTTCTACTAGATCCGCTGATGGCTTGTTCTTAGCTTTACATGTTATTGGCAATTCGATATCCCAAATATTATAAACGACGTATCTATACCAGAAGCAAGACTTCATTGGCATTTATAATCTGTAGTTCAATAAAAATAATAGTAGTAATAAGTTGAACAAAGGCAAAAAAGTAATGCATGACCCCTTTGTAATTACATTAAGAAGATCAATATAGCCTATGTGATTTTTATGCCAATTCCTTTTTATATCTTTTCCGTAGGTTTTTGGATAAGACTATGACAACAAAATGATTCCTAAGAGACAGCATGGCTCGCAAGTGGCCAACAAAAAGGCAAGGACACAAGATTACTGAGTCGGCAGCACATGTGGCAGCGTGTAAACCACATCATACATTTATTATATATATCCTTGTAATGACATGATCCTAGTTTTAAGCATATATCAGAGACAAAAATGAATTTGAAAGGAGAACCTCGCGCTCTACTATATCCCTGTAACCTAAATCTCGTTCTCGCCAAACGGAAAGACAAAGAAAGTGTAGAAAGCATTGATTATTAACAACAAATCAGTAAATTAATCAAAATTTAAAAAGGAGGAAAATAGAGAGGGAAGCATTTAGAGAGTGTCACGTCAATATTTTGTAAGAAAATAATGGCATGACAATTTCAAGTATGGGGAAAAAAGTGGCTAAATTATGCTATAATTTTTCGTGGAATAAAAATTTTGGTTTATGGTCCCAAGAACAATTAGTGTTTTTTTATTTTTCTCTATCTGTCAATTTAGTGATAGCGAGCCCAATTCAGGACAATAAAAGCCCATTCTTGGGCCAGAAAAAAACCCAAATCTACATTATTATGTAGTAAAATTTTATGATAAAATTCATAGGATTAGGAATGGCGCCGTTTGTCCTGATGTGAACGGGGTTAGTAGACTGTGTCGTTTTGAATTGGTTAAATCAGTGTCGTTTACTTTAATTTAATTTAATCTTTGTGTTGTTGTGGAGTTGAGCGTTCACCAAGAGAAGCAGCAGAAGAAGAAAAAGGTTACTGTGTGCACAGCTACCGATAGCGAATAAAGTCAAAACCCGGGAATGGTTTCACTCTGATCAAACTGAAGGTAGTCTTCTGTTCGATTTCTCTTTTATTGCTATGGATCCTCAAATTACAGATCTTTGAAGATTCGGTTTAGTGTGTGACGGAATTCTATCAATTCAATTCAATTTCGATTGGAATTTTAGGAATCGAGAAAGGAAAGGTTAGGGTTGGGGTTGATAAGGCAGACGAGAAGAGAAGTAAGAGGTTAATTCAAATGCCGGAAGAGGATTTGGTGGATATCAAGTTTAGGTTGTACGATGGCTCCGATATCGGACCCTTCAGGTACTCCTCCGCTGCCACCGTCGATATGCTTAAGCAAAGGATTGTCTCCGATTGGCCCAAAGGTTTCTCTTTCTTCTCCCTTACCCCGAAATTTATTTCAATTTTTGTTCATCGCGTTTCCTGCTTTTGTTTACTGATTCCTTTAGTTTTTATTGTTTATAAGTCAATTGAGTGTTTGAGAACATTAAGCTGCTTGTTTGGTTTGGGAATTCAATTTATATGTCTGTTTGGGGTGTTCAAGCTTTCCAGTTTCCTTTTGAGTGCAGTGATGTGTATGTGGGTGAAGTCCAAGTTCATAGTCCATCGAAGGTTACTTAGAGATGTGGACTGTTTGATCTCTGATGGTTCTGGGAAAACGTGTTATCCATTATTTTTTTTATGCTAGAAGTTGATAAGTTCAAAATCCGTGGCTATTATTATTGAAATCGTGGTCATGTTGATAATAGAAAACTGTAGCTGTCACGTAAGTCTAAATTGCATCACCCAAGCCAAGTGAAGCCCTCTTTTCGTATTCACCTGTGTTTTTATAAAAGAGCATGAATTGCACTATTTCTACCACAGGTTCACAGCTGAAAACAATTATGAGAAATGTAGCAACACACTTTTTCTACCAGTGTTAGTTAATCGTTAAAATTTATTGAAAACTACAAAAATCGTGTGCATTCCACTATTTTTCGCTTCTAATTTAATGTTTCTCTCCTATAATTTTGTAATTTTTAAGTTAATAATTAGGATTGTGTTAAAAAGAGTATGTTAGAGTGTGTTCCTAGTACTCCTCAACTATTATTATCAAAGTTGTTGAGATGCTTGGTTTTTACTATTGTCATTTGGGTGTTATTTTGATGAATTTGAATGTGTGTTGTTATGGTGTGAAAACTGAAGAATGAGGAAACTTGATAAATGTGGAGGTTTATTTGGGTGTGAAGACTGAAGAAGAGAATACAAGGTTTTGTGCCAGCATTTTCTTTCATACAGGCAAACAGGAATGTAGCAGTTGGTTTTACCTAGCTTTTTTCTAAATAAAGTAAAATATTACTGGACTTCTATGGTCATTCTATTGTCCAGATCATAATGATGCATAGACATTTATTTACCTTCCCCTTTCACATATCAATGGCAGTTGAGGACTTGGATTGCAGTTCATATGTCAAGATTGGCATTACCAGATTTTGTCACAAAATCTCTTGCATCGGTGAAATCAATTACGACCCTAGAAGCTATATATTTGAGTTAGCTGAAATAAGGAATAAGCTAATCCATGCAGGAATTGGCTAATCCTTGCAAATAGAACAAGTGGTAATCAAATTGAGAGGACCAGAGCCAAACAAAGGCAAGAATATTGTGTTCCATGCAGTAGTAAGAACCAAACGAAACTGGCCATAAAGGACCAGAAGACTTGGACAAAGCAAAGCTGGTGAATCTCTGCATATCACAGCCAACTGTGGTAGAGGAGTGGCTGATACCAGCAAACAAGGTCAGCGCCTGGCCAGAAAAGTCAGGGGAAGGAAATTCAGACTTGTTGCAAGTATAGGAGGATTGGGATGCACTACCACACATTGGCACATGGGAGTCAGGCTACTTTTGATTGCTATTATGTGTGAGCATTCTGGTGGGAGGTTTTTGGGTGAGTTCTAATGGATCACTACCATCTCATTAGAAGGGTTGTGCTGGTTTTTGAATGGAGGCAACGAAGTTGAGGAACTTGATCTGGCATTGATGGCAAAGAGGAAAAGCGTATCAGTAAAGTGAATCCAAGCGCTAATGTTGTCTGGAAAGCTACACAGTAGCCATGAATAGTAGGGAAAACTATGACTGCAGTAGTTGTAGTTGGTGTTCAACCATCAAGAAGTTGATAGTCACTGGACAAAGTTCATAAGGATGAAGAAGACCAAACAAAAGGAGTTTCAGATCTTTAGGAACTTGGCAATGGAGATTCTGATGGAATCAGTCATGAAGGATGATACTGCTCTGTTACCATGTTGCAATTATGTGAAAAGGGCAGAAAAGAATAATACTTATTTGACATATAATGAAAATGTGTGTATGATACAAAACAATAACATTCCCATTTATTTTCATAATCTAGGTTTAAATATAGAGTTCGACAACATGTTTAAGCCCAACCCAACTAGACCTTTATAATAAGACAGTCTTATAGATGTAAGAACACTAAACATCATAATAACTTGCACCTTTGTAATTGAACCCTTCCTAGGACAAATGTAATATAAGTGCTTTTCCCTTTATTTCTGCATCAACCTTATTGTGAAATTATAAAATGCTTAGAGATGCTTGAATGATCAAAAGGAATGACAGCCAACATTAATTAAGTCTAGATCATTTGAGAATCTTATTTAATCTCCTGTGAGCTTGATATAAATGGAGGTCACTGACCAAATGAAAATTATTTATGAAATACTCATTATAACATTAGTTGAAGAATCTCTTCATTAGAAAGTTGTGGTCAAACGTTTTGCAAAGAAAATTTTGGCTCTTTATTTATTCAATTCAAATTGAATTTTTGTGATATTTCTTAATTAAAGAGGAATTAAAGATGATTATCACTCCTTTGAAATTATGGACTGTGACATATGATGGCCTTGTGGTGATTGTTAACTCTTTAACAAAATTTAAGGAGTTACTGATTCAGTCAACTTGTTATGATATTTATTCATGTAGCTTTGGGTTCTTTTCTGGAACTTATTGAAGTTAGGGTTTGGCACAGGTTCTCTCTTTTATTCCTTCATTTTATGTGTTGTACTTCTTCCCTAATGTAGGTAAAACGGTTCTCCCAAAGTCAGCAAATGAAGTGAAATTGATTAGTTGTGGTAAAATCTTGGAAAACAACAAGACTGTCGGTCAGTGTAAAGTACCATTTGGTGAGATTGCAGGGGGTGTGATAATAATGCATGTTGTTGTACAGCCATCTCTAGCAAAAACTAAACCTGGTACGTGCCCTTTAGATTGTTAGCCTTTCTTAAAGTTGTTCTTTTTTTACTTGGCATGAAAATTAGGTAGAGTTCATATCAGAATGAACTTCCATGTGTTTGCAGTTGGATCTGCATGATGACTTATTCACTTGCTAATATCTGGTAATACAGTAATTTGAGAACCCTTTTGGAGTGTTTTAGTCACTTGTTATAATAGATGAGATAAAACTGGCCAAGAGCCAGAATTTTAAGGAACGCTTGTAGATGAACTTGGCTAGCTGCTGGCTTTTCCCTTTAGAGATTAATGTTTTTAAATATCAGATTGATCATGGAACTGCTGAAACAGTTGTTCATCATTTATTGGTTCAATAGTAGTGCAAGTGTGGTAAAATCGGTCATAATTAAATATATAATTTTAGTATTATATACTATGAATAATTATTCATGTAATAACAAACAATGATTCAATCCAACTATTCCATTAAGTTTTATTTTTATAATTGGATGAATTATATATGAATGGATTTTTTGGTGAGTGAATAACCACTCATAATTAATTTAGTCTACACAAGTTGCATAGAATCAAGTTGTTTAATCAGTGCAAGCAATACTTCACTAGCTGGGAAACATTGTATTTTTGCCTGTTAATGGGAATTTGGTTCCCCCCTGTTTGGTTTATGTGGTAAAGGAAAAGGGTATGCTTCATTTTTAGGCTTCAAACTTAAAATGCGAGTGATGTATGTCAAGCAACATATGAAAGAGGAAGATTCAGTCAGCGAGTGTTACATTAACTTTTTTCTATGGCAAGGGCCTCCATTCTCTGCATAATTGATTATTGTATTGCTTTGTAAGCTGTGTAGTTTGTCATCCGTGGCCACCAATCTTATAGCCAACACTTTCATACAGATGGGCACTTCAAAGACGTTGCTATTATAAAAAACAATATTAATCATTTAGAAAAGTCTACTTAAAAATCTAAAATATTATTATAGGAAGAAAATGAATATACAAATATTGATTATCAATATTTTCTATTTTCTAGTTGAGGGTAATACTATATAATAATTGCTGGAGGAGATACCTATAGGTTAGACTGCGGGTGGAGAGTCATCCATCAAAAAGGAAGCATTTTATGGGCTTTGAAGACTATTTTCCATTTTGCACCAATCCTACTTTACCTTTGATTTGAAGGTTGAAGAAATATTAGTTTGATATTTGGATTTCTCTTTTCCTTTTAACAGAAAAGAAGATTGATGATTCACCCAAGAAGGTTGTATGTTCTTGTTCAATATTGTGAAGATAATTTGAGTTGGAGATGCTAATGCCTATTCCGTCAATCACTAGTCAAGTGCAGAAATCATCTGCCGGAACAAACGTGTCTATTTCAGCATTACTGTGTAAAGTACGTATACGGGCAATTATATATTTATAGAAAAGTTTGTGTTAATGGTGACTTCTGAAGATGGTTTCATTCTTTCATTACAAACTCCAAAGGGTTGATGACATTGTAACCATTGATTGCTACCGTTGTGCATGAAGCTTTCGTTTTTCATTTGCAATGACATGCGTGATATCATATACATCTGAGAGTGTCTAAGCACTTGACAACATTTGCGTGTTCATTCAATTTATTATGGGCATCGATAATTCACGGACAACTCTATGTTTATTGGTTGAGCGTGTTTCAACTCTATGTTGTCCGATCGCAATAAAATTGTTAACCAAGAATGTATAATTAGAAGTTATAGGCCCAAACAAATATCTCAGTCTAAGCTTTAGGGCTTGAGTGGTTAATTTAATTTGCAAGATCAAAAGAAGTTTTTCATCTTTTAAACATTTGTGAAATTTACTCCTAAAATACAAAATATACTAATTTTTTATAAATAAAAAAGGTAAATATTAACCAATATCTTTAAGACATCAGATAAAAAAAAAACTACTGAAGTGTTATTAACGTATTTTTACTGAAATTCTTAATGCATTTTCAACTTGATTTAATTTTAAAATACTTTTGATTGTTTTCTCAATCAAAACATATTTAGAATATTCATTAGTCGGATTCAAAGAATAAAATTAAATTTCTTATCAGTTCGATATGCAAGTTAACAAAATAGTAATATTTTATTTTATATTACTAATTATTTAAAATATATTAATAATATTATTAAACGATTTATTTTTAAATTTCTCTATATTATTATAAATAAATGGCAATAAACTACTTTTAAAATGTAGAAAATATTAATTCAGTATTTGAAAATTCGTCCAATATTAATTTGGGTATTAAAAACATGATATCAAATAATTTTATTAAGTTAAATTTGAACAAAGATTATTTTAAATATCTTTCAATGGTTGAAGAATTAATCTCATAAATTTTTAAAAAGTTCAATTAATGTTAAGTATAATTTTTTGAAAGACTAAAAAAATTGTATATTTAATTTAAAAAATTGTTCATGCATTTCATTTATTTTTTTTATATCTTTTAATAGTATATTTTTTAAGTGATCTATATATAGCATAGTGCAAAGAGAATAAAAGTATGTAAGAAAGAAAAACTCGCAGAAAACACAACTAAAAAGAACAAGAAATATGAAGGGAGAAGAAAGTGAATAACTATATTATTCAATTAGTTCATTACAAGATCAATAAACCTAAAAACATTCAAAATTATTTACTTGTGAGATGAAGGGTCAAACACAGGCCACAGAGGAAACGGAGAGAACATAACGGAATGAATTGGCATAATCAAAGGAAATAATGGCACCACTGCTTAAGGGTTTGCCATCATTAACAAGGCAATCATTGTAGCTTAAGCGCTTGAAGATTGTTGGGTTGATAAGGCGTGCAGAACTGAACCCCCCACATGAAAGGTGAATGTTAGAAATGTTGCACCCACTCACGCAAGTGTTAGCTATCTCTACCTTGTATGTGGGAATGCCACTTGGAAGTGGAACTGTTGGACTTTGATTTATTTCAATATCAGATTTTCTGCATTTGTCCTCTAACATTCTCCTTGCTTCACTTCTTTCGCCAGCTACATCAAGGGAATATAATAGATTTTTAATAACAACAATTAGTGGCTCAATTTTTTTTTTTTTAAATTGATTTGATCTAGATATCAAGTAAAAGAAGGTTTTGAAATTGATTTAACTTTTATTTCATGGGTTATTAATGAAGAACTTCGTCGTCAGATTCTTTTATTCCAAAATCAAATTAACTAGTAGTCATCAATAATACAATGAAATGTTTATTTATATAATATTTTGTACTGCTTTTACAAATAAGAGAATGAGATGAAAAAAAAAAGTATCAGATAAAATACATGATTTTATGTAAAATTATAATAAAATTGTTAGAGAGAGGTATGTGTAGAAGTAAAATAACTCCTGATAAATATGTGTGAATAGTATACAGTATATGCTAATTAACGTAAAGTTATAATGGAGTGTGTATACTAATTAACGCACCTGCAACAAAAGCGAGGATTCCTAGGAACAACAAGGACGACGTTAAGGTCGACCGTATCTTCATCATAATACAGCACAGCTAATGAGTGTAACTCAAACCCTAAAACCTCATAAAAGAAACACTATCATCACAGTTTGAAAAAATATAGAAAAAGAAACTATTAAAAGAAAGGGATGGAACCAGAGTTAAGTAACATTTTTTTTTCCCCTCTAATATGTGTGACAAAAAGATATAAAAAAATAAGAGAAAGGAAAGGACCAAATCAAGAAAGGAGTGTTAGTGAAAGTCATACAACAAAAAAGTGAAGAAATGAAACAAAACAACACATAAATATGTATGTATGTTCATGTTTCATAACCAAGAACTATTTCATGGGAGAGAGAGCGCAAATGCACCTTTGAAGGTGAAAGCAAATTTTGCACCGTGGAGAGGAGGCTGCCTCTCTGCATTTGCTCGTCTCTATACTCTAACTTTTATACAAGAAACATATAGTTAGAAATAAATGTAGTTTATTTCCCTAATAATAATTATTTAATGATAGATTCTTCAGTGTCTTCGTACGTGATAAATTTGAATCCTTATAATATATTGTAAGTTTGTTTTTGTCCACGACATTATAACTTTTGTTATATGTTCACACTGATAAAATAAATATCTATAAATATAACTAAATATCAAATTTTAAATAATATATCTATAAATATTTATATATTTATATTATATAAAATTTGATATATATATATATATATATATCATAAATATAATATGAAAAGATCTAATAATTAAATTAATTAATATCGTATCTTATAAATTATTAGGTGAAGTGAATATTAAATATTTAAGATCAATAAATTATGATCTTGTTTTATTATTTTAGCATAAAATATTATTTTTATTAAAAATTAAAATATAAATTTGCATGTCAATATTATTGATATTTATTAATCACTTCATAGAATTGATTTGATCTCTCTTGGTGATATGTACAAATTGTGAATGGTGATACAAATAAAGAGATGGATGAGTTATAAAGATAGATGAAGTAAAATGTTAATATTTGATAAAATATCTTTATTAAAGGATACATTAAAAAATTGAAACTAAATTTAAATTATAATTTAAAATCTTTTTAACAATAATTTGTATAAATTTTGTAACATGTCAAATTATAATAAAATCACGATAATGATACACATCCTGATTCATTTCTTTTGTTAGCCGCATCAAGGGAATAAGAAGGATCTTTAATAACGACAATTAGTGGCTCAAAAAAAATTAAAATTGATTTGATCAAGATATCATATCTAACTAAATTCAATTAAATAAAAGAATATTTTGATTTAATTTTTATTTTATGGTTTTAAGTGAAGAATTTTATTATCGATTAAATATGAATTTTTTTAGAATTCGGATCTTCTACACGCTAACTACATTGGTAACCTGCACTATATTTTGCCTTATGCAAACATAGAGCTTAAGCGAAATAAGTAAAAAGTAGCTTTTCACATAAGTCTTAGAATCTGTTTAAGCAAAAATTAAAAATTTCACTTGAGGAAAGGATGAACAAAATAGTGCATAGGAAAGGAAAGAACGCAGGGGCTGGTTGATTGGGTGAGGGAGAGGGAGAGGGAGAGGGAGAGATGGAGAAAAGAGACTGAGTGAGAGGGGGAAGAGGATGGCTAAGTTGAAAGGAGAGGGAGAGAGGGAGGAATTGAGTGGGGAGGGAGAGAGGGAGGAATTGAGTGGGGAGGGAGAAGGGGACTGGGTGGGAGAGGGGGAGGAGCTAAGAGAACAAAAAGAAGAAGGGTGAATGAGAGGAAGAAAGGGTTTAAGTGAAAGGCTAAATAAGAAGAGGAGAAGGAGTTAGATGGAAAAAAAGGAAAAGAGGAGGGATTAGGGTAGGTGGATGGAAGAGAGGGGAAGAGGCTGGGTAAGAAAGAAGAGGAGGAGTCAAAGGAACGAGAGAGAAAGAAGAAAATATTACAGTATATTTTTGCTGTCTAAAGATCGTATCCAATTTTATGTTACCTTGATATGTATTATTACTTTTATTTTATTATTTTTAGTGTAAAATACTCAACTGATTAGAGTCGATTTACATCGAACTATTAGGAGCAATTTTAAAAGTTCCAAGATTATTTGAGGCTTTAAGATGATAGTCTAAATCCTTCTGTGCAAGGGACTTATGCAGGAATCCCAGTTCCCAATACTTTTTTTTTTTCAAAATAATATAGTTCAATATGTATTAAAGATTAAAAGATTACAAATTATTTATTTATTTTCCACATTTTGAATCCCCTTTATAAACTGTCCAGAATTATAAAATAATTAAGTTACATCGTTCATAATTTTATATACATCAACAAGAATGTAAATTTATCCACAGTACTAAAAAACACAAGTTAATAACAAAAAGATTATTTATCCATAATTTTTTTGTTTGCAAATAGGAAAAACAATAAACAAAAAAAAGGCCAAACACACTGAAAGCAATATCGAAGAGGGGTGAGGGTGAAACAAGGATCCACGGATTAAGAATTTATTAGCATACCTAGTCACGATGTCTTCCCTCAGCACCGGGCCAGAATTTAATATCAATAAAAGTCAGCTATAAAACTATACAAACAATGAATGGGTCTTATATCCTACCTCCTAAGTTAGGAACTTCCTACAACATTAAACCAGCCCACACAAAAAGCATAGCCACCCAATGCCACGTACATGCAACACTCATAAGCACACAAAATGTAGAAACCAGGCTTTCATCGATCTACTTTGCCGCTTGAAGCCTTCCTTTCAAGTAACCGTACCTTGTCAAGCAGCTCTTGGATGGTGTTTGATGCGTCCTACAGGGGAAAGACAAAAGTGACGCTTAACCAACAAACGCAAATATTATTTTCAAATATTATTTTGTAATGTATTTTGGATCAAAAAGAGAAACATTTTTTTTCATTTCTACATTAAATTCTGGGCGAAAAGAGGGCAGGGCAATTATGTACGAGAGTAGAACCTGGAGTCTCTTTCTCAAGTTTTTCTCTTCAGTATCACGTCTATCCCTCTCTTCAGAAAATACATCAATAAGAGTTTCTTGATCCTTGTTTAATTCTTCAATCTTTTTCTCCGCAGCATGGAGCTGATAAAGAAGGGAAGAAATAAGAAATATGCAATGTTTAGAAAAGGACGAAAGCAATTTCAAGGGTGAGGCATTCATCGAGTATCATTTTCAAAGTCATCATTATTAAATATATTCATTATTAATAATAAACATTTTATTATATTAAATAACAATAACTAAAACTTATGATGATTGAAAAATAAATTATGAAAAAATTAATCAGATATTGAATTCAAAAAAAGTTAAATGCTCAATGAAGAAAATATATAACATAATGAAAAGAAAAAAAAGTTTCTAAAAACAGCCTGATTTAAAATAACTGTTAAAAATACTTTGGTTCAAAAATGAGAATTCATATTTAATATAGAGAAGTAAACAGAAAAATTAATCAAACTAACCTAATCCAAAATAGAATAATAGAAATTAACAACCCAGTCTACATCATTCTACGACATGAAATAGTCAGTTGTGAAGTGTCAAAGATCATGGTCCAAACCTGAGCTTCAAGAGATGTGCACCTGTCTTTCTCGTGCTTCAAATCCTGTAGTACTTCCCCTAAAATTTCTCCCTCCTTCCTCTGTAGTCTATAACCCAAAAACATAAAACACAGGAAGATAAGAGACAACAACCTCAATTCACCGAAGAAACCAAGATAAAACTTCTAGAATTACAATATATACCTTTCCTTCAACTCACGATTCTCTTTTTTCAATTTCTCTAGAGTCAATATATCAGAGTCAAATAGCGGTTGCTCACCATCGTTTACATTTTTTCCCTGCAATACTTCAATTACTTTTCAGGAGCCATTTCCGAATAACAAACAAGAAAAGGATCTCAAGTTAAAAATGCATTTTAGACTCTTGAACCATCGTCACCATAATTTGGATTTTAGAAGCAATTTTTCACAATCAAATCTACTAAAAGTCATTTTGGGATGTCCACTTTTAAAACAAATTCTATTACTAAAATCATCAATGTCCAGAATTACACATTATGTTTGATGACTTGTAAGAGATTGATGAAAAATAATCGTAACATCTATTTTAACCGAGATAACCAGCTATACAAGCCAAATCTATTTTTGTTTGAAGCTCCTATAGGTATCAGTTGTATCCCAGTCGTAAAATATTTTAAAGTAACCTTCTATTCTCATTGCTTAATACTAAAATATGGTTTAAATCAAAACATGACACCTATGACCTCCATCACCCCCACAGACGAAAGAGCACAACTTTTCCTGTTGGGATGCTTACATATTCGCCATTTTTCTATTATTTTCATCTTATGTACTCTTTCTTCATTACTTTCCACTGATAAAAGATAGAACATTAATTATAAGTATTATAATTCCTTATCCACCCTCTTCAAGCATCACATATTAACAACAATAATTCATGTTACAATGCATGGATATATACTAGCCAAAGAAATAAAAGTACAAGAATAAAGTGAAAAAAAGATAGATGATGAGAAGCATGACCTTTAGCTTCGATCCTTGTAAAGATCGTAAGGCTTTTCCACTTGATGTAGTATCTTGAAAACGTTCATTCTCATTTTCAAATGATTTTTTAGCCATAGATACCTTTTGACCTTGTTTCTTAGGCAAGACAATGTTAATTTGATCGCTGTCCTCATCTGATGACGTTGATTGTTCCGATGGACTTCGCATCCTACGTTGAGAGTTTGATAACTGACCATTTGAGTAAGGACTATATCTTTCTGTTTGTTTCCGAATCCGTTTCTGATTCGAGTGTGAATCTAATTTGTCTGATGTCAACGGTGTTGCTTTGCCTTCCATGGTAGAAGGCTTTCTTTTTGATTGTGATGATTCTGGAACAACATCAGGAGATGTCTCTGCAAAATAAGATGCATTTGTAGAATTTACTTTCCATGAGGAAGCATTATATTTATAAAACTACAACAGAGAAAGGCCTTATATCATAGCTTTACCAGCTGAATCTCGTATTTTCTTTTTACTTCGATTGGAAGCATAACCAATTTTATGGCAGTGAGAGCTCCTAAATATGATGGACAATAACAAATTAGTAAAACAAATAATTTATATTACATACAAGCAATTATCATAAATAATTCAATGGAGAATAAAGAATCACCAATAACTCTTCTGCATTTGTATCAACCGTGACTCTAGTCTCGATAAAACTAGTGTACGCTCAAAGCCTTGCTTATCGTGCGCAGGTTCAACAAAATTGGCTTCCAACACACCTGCAGATAGAAATGAACCCTATCTTAAATGAGCATAGTCAAGGTGATAAAAAGACCCCTGAACTCAAAGATCACAGGAAAGGCACCACCTATGACCCCACGCCCTCCACTTCCTGCTGGATTCCAGATCCTCCAGAACGGCTGACAATCAAGAAAACTACCTGTAAGAATAATGACAATGTTTGGACCTCTACAAACAAACAGAACACCAACTCCCTTAAGTCCAAGAATTTACCAAAGGGTTCATATTGATTGCTATGATAGAACAATGTATGAACTAAACCCAGATTAACAACTGAGAAAAGTACTCTATTATCTCAAAAGTACTTGGAGCACAGAAACTTTTAAAGGGAGAAAGGGCACAAGAGTCACATATATCTCACATGAGATGCTGATGTTTATCATAAAATACCCTACCTTAATGAGTCGATTCTTATGGTAAACATTAAACCCAGAAACATCAATATGGTGAACAGCATCCTTGACAAATCCAATAGTAACAATGGCGACCATCTGTCACAAGATCAAGATAAAATCATATTGTAGCACAAATTGGGAATATCAAACTTAAAATTTTATATAAAAATTACATTTGTATCCTTTGGAATTCCATCAATGCCAGATTGAGGCCTGTAGGTCACCTCCTGAGACATCATCATATCATTCACTATATTGTGATGCAAAATATCTTTCCCTCGAAGAATAATTCGGAAGCCAGGAGGAAGCCTCAGATATAAAATTGAGGCATAACTCTGAATAAACAAGAATAATAATAAATAATGATGAGAAGCATGATGATGCACACAGAGATATATTAGTCAGATTCATGTCCATACTAAATATAAAATAGAAACCAAATTACACAATATACGTATTTACATTTACATACAAGGCCTGTTTGTTGAATAGTTTAAGATATTTTTTCCTATCTTGTACTACTTTTTACATTTGTTTAGTCAACAAAATATGATAAGATAGGATAACACAATGTATCTAACTTGCGTTCATCAAAAGTAGAAAGAGCCCTATACATATACAACTGAGCAGGAATGTAAGAAATAACATGATATGTTACTTTTCTAAAATAAATAATATTAGTAATAACTAATAATTATCATCTTGGCTTACCCTTAGTGAATGGCGATAAGTCAGGAAGTGTCTGGAGTTGGGAAACTCTTTTGCCATCTGTATATTCTTCTCGTCTCGATTTACACCTCTTATTTGGATATCCTGACACAAAAGCCATAAACATAAACATATCAAAATTTATATAAATTGTTTATAAAAAAAAATTAACAGGACAAAGGGGAGGGAGTAGTGACTCAGTTAAAACACATACATGTGGGTCTGCATCAAAATCAAGTTCCAGCTGACCTTGGTCATCCTCCCAAAGATTGTATATTATGACTCGTGTACCATGATCTTTCATCAAATTGAACTAGAAATTGGGTAAGAGTAAGATGAGAGCAAGTAATCAACATAAACAAATAACCTCATGACTTGTGGCAACACGCACCCCTTCACCCCAAGTAGCAAGGGATTACCTGACGGAGAAGATCAGCCTCACTGGAAAATGGTGACCATTGTACTATTGTTTCCACATTTTTATTCCAATCATCCAACGAAGTTCGTATTATCTTCTGATATTCCACTTGTCCTCTTTCATAGTCCAGCTTTATTTCAGTATAAATAAAAGTTAGATGCATAAGAAAACATTCAAAAAATCAAATGAAATATAAAACACATACTCATCCCTGAATGGCTCTTAAAAATAATTCAACCGATCCACAAACATCCCCACCCCATCCCATGTTTAGTAATCAATGCATAATATTTTTTTATAATGCATGAACCTCACAGCATAAAATTGGATAATTACTGCAAGTGTGTGCCTACAAAAATTGAGGTACACTTCAGGTTTAAGATGATCAAGACCATGGGAATTCAACTATCTTGAAACAAACAAATTAGCCCGCCCTGTCACTATTCCAACAAATAGTATAAACCCCACATTAAATAATACCACAAAAGACAAAGTTCATCAATTGACAGGGGCAACACCTCTTGTGGCTTTGGCTCATGGGCTTGTAGTGAGAATGAAAGACAAAAATCAACATAAATATTTTGATTTCACTCTTAATAATAATAATATACACACTTTAAAAAACTCATCGATAAGTAAAGAAAACAAATTACCATGGGTACTACAATATCTTCCTTCCCAGTATTCCTCAAAAATGTGTAAGACAACAAGCCTATGCTTTGTGTAGAGCTAATAAAATATCCAAATCACTCAGTTAGAAATAGAAGCAAGCCATAAAAAACAAATATAAAGCATGAATATAACAGGCAGTAAACACAAATTCATCCTCAAGCACAATATAATCACTGGCTGTTATTAAGGAGAATTCTACAATTACTGATCGTGCCCCTGATGCCCCAGGCAGCCTAAGATATTAACATATATTTATTTCTTTGAAAAATAATACCATCAGAATCCAGCAAATAAGTATCATTCAGAAGGGTGTATTTTAAGTTGCACAATTAATGACCAAGTTCCTCAGAAGTCAGGACCTCACTATTACAGAAACTTCACCACAATTCATATATGATAAGAGATAAACAGTTTATTTGGCTTTTTAATGCATAAACGAAGATTTACTTTATATAATCTTACCAACAAAATATTATCCCATAACTTCAAGTTGGGTAAATACTAGACCACTGAGTATGAAACCAAGTATCCTAAACCCCAAAAAGAGAAAATCATAACTAGATTTTGTTGACTTCTTAAGAAAAAAACACAAAACACTAAAGCAACTAATTCAAAGTTAAATTCTAATTAAATGCAGAACACAGCTCGAACTTTGAAAGAAAATTGAATGAAGAAATCCAAAAGCTCCACAAACCTCTTCCCATCTTTCCCTTGATTACGGGAGAATACAATTACATCAGCACCTAGCCTCATAGTACTTGTTTTAAAGCCATTTCCATCTATCACATGAACTCAAAAAATCAGTAAGCTTTCTTGAAAGAAACATTCAACAAGATTTAAATTCTACCCTATACTAAAAGTATACATTGTCCAATTGTATTTGCCAATTTGCTTTTCACAGAATACCCCAGCGACATGCATTGACGCATTTTATCAGGATCCATCCCACCACCATTATCTGAAATAAGAAATAACAAAGCATTGTTTTAGATTTTGAAAACATAAAAAAGAAAACAAGAATAGTAAAAAGAAAAGAGGACATCTACAACTTACTCACAAGTCACAAGACATTCCAAAATCAAATTTCTAAACCTTATCCACATTTTTAACAGCCAAATCATAAATGCAACTACTGAATAATAGTGTGCAGTGCTGATTGTACCATGGATTCCAATTTAAAGAAATAAAACCAATTATTGATGAAATAAAGATTGGATTTCTAGATACTCAAATTTCAAAGGAATAGGAGTGAAATCAAAATTACCAATCATATTCCACTTGCACTTGTTTTAAGACAAGTTGGGTACAGGCAAAATATATACATTGACACTTGTTTAGTTCATGGAGGAAGAGAAAAACACATTTTTATGACGGTGTAGGATATTCTTGCACTCACAAGCATTTTAAAAATAGATGCTCTTCTTTCTCCCTTCTGTTTCTTATTACCGAAACCAATCATCTCAACTATCAATATGCTTCATTTTCCTTTTCTTTCCAAAGATCTATTAAGTAAAAAATTTATGAACGAAAATACCTTCAATCAGCAACATCCTGGTGCCATCTTTCTTATTTACAAGCATATCTACATTAACATATGTGGCCCCATTACAAACCTGAAGTCAAATTCAAGAAGTAAAGCAGGGTACTAATCACTAGCATTGCATTATTCCAAAGATACGGGACGCGAGGCATACCTCATCCAACGAATTGTCCAAAAGCTCAGCAAAAGCTGCAGAACATAACCAATCTAAGCATACTAACTAAATAATGATAAATCTCTAGGAGTCAAGGGGGAAGGGAAATAAAAATTCATTTAATATGAAAAATACTGATTAGCGGTTGACCATTGATATAAGCATGTTCATTTTACCTCCAAGAGCCCACTTATGACTTGTGGCATTAGAGTGTAAAAATTTGGGGTGAACCCTGACATGATCCATACCAACTGCAGATTTTACAAGAAATATCAGGTTATGTTACATTGTCAAGAACGCAGGCTTACTCAAAAAACCTTAGTTTGTGACAGCCAAACAGAATGAATAAAGGAACCAACTAACCAATAGGGAAATAAAAAAAGAAAAACATCTATAAAAGAGAAGAACTTCTTGAATATATCTATTGCATAACAAAAAGGATAAAAAAAAGTCCTATGTTGATCCTTGATTAACGTATGATAAGAACCTTGGGAAAACCTAAGGCCTTAAAACACTACATTGAGATTGAATCTCATACTTCCAATGTGGGACTCAAATCTCATGCTATACAATTGAAACCCTAGCACCAACACAAGAGATAGCTTTGCACTAGCACTTTGACTAGTCCTAAGCAAGCACTGCAATGCCCACATCACTTTCCACAACATTTGATTAATTGAAAGATATGGTGGAAATCTCTAGTGCAAATTGAAAAAAAAACTTAGGACAATCGCACCATAAAAGCTAGCTATTGTAGTTCAAGAGTACAGAGTCTTACAAATTTCACACTAAGACCCCATACTTCCAATGTGAGACTCAAGTCTCATACCTTGCAATAGGATTTTAACAAAGTATCACCTCCAAATCAAAGAATGACTATCAACACTTAACTAGGTCAACATGTGATAGGTGTAGGCCACCTTTAATGAAGGTTTATCAGAGGAAGCCTAAAAATAGGACAACTGCAGATAATTTGAATTGTCAGTCATAACTGTATTAGTTATAACTGTATTTTGTTTCATGCTCTATAAATAGTTAGTTCGAAAGGGGGGAGGGTATCTTGGGAGAAATCAGATATTGAAGGGAGAGGCTGGAACTCTCGAAATTCCAGTGGGAGGGTGCTGTATTGTATCCTATTCTCTTCTCTTATTCAGAGAAGATTCAATAAAAATTATATTCTTTGTTCGATAGCTATCAACATGATGATCCATGATCAGCCAAGTCCCAAGATATTAATCAAGAGAGCATAATATTCTATACCTAATAGCAACCTAAAACTGTCAAAATCAGAAAATGCCTAACAAGATAGCAGAGAGCATGATGATTAAAGTATACTAAAGATTAAGCATAAAAAGTAATTATTTTATAATACACATGAAAATGATTAAAAAACAAATTACCCAAATGTAAAGAACAATAATAATCAAAAGTCATAGTTTGGATAAAATGACCATCATCAATCTAGGGCATACTGAACAAGTCAATATCAACATAATCAATGAGCATAGAAGGAAAAGGGGGGAATTAAAGAGCATGTGCGTTGTCATATAAAAAATGCAGATCGATACAAAAGAAGGAGCTGAGAACAAGTAAAAGGGCAAGATGCAAAAGGGCAGGCTGGGCTGCTGAGAGTGAGTGAAAAAAACATGTCAAAAGAATACTACGCTGTGAGGATAGTGTGGTCTTGCTGAGTTTTTTTAATAGATGACAGGATTCTAACTCTGAAAACCCTCTTATGCAGGATAAACAGTGTAAAACCACAACTGAGTGCGCACACAGTTGCCAAAACGGTTGACCAAATATGCATGGGTTCTCCTAAACGGTACTGTGACTGTATGGGTACAAGTAGAACTCCAGGGCTGGAAACAACGTAGAATAATCTCTGTATTTCCCTGAGCCGTGCAAGTTAAGTTACCCTTCCTCAAAAATCTACAGTACAGAAAATAATCTCTACTGCATACAGACATACCACCATGGATATGTTTGATACGAGAGTGAGTGCCACGAAACCAGTGAAAAAACTCATTTCAATTTTGAACTCCTTACATTTTAGTCCCACAAAAACATGCGCTTAAACTCTTCCTATTTAGAACAAACATCAGAAATGAAACACAAGGACCACAAAATAGCATTGCCAATTAGTAACCACTCGTCATTTCATATAAAATTAACCAATAACTTATTCCTCTCCAAGCATTCCATGACATATAACAAATCTAAAACACAATAGCATTTGCAATTAGTAATTACACATCATTTCGTATAACATTCAAAAACAAAATATCAAAACACACCGGTTGAAGATTCACTAAGACCACTAGGAGCACCATCGTAATCTCCAGCCTTCCAGAACTGCTTACAGCTTTGCACACTCAAACGCAACGCAGAATTCGAAGCCCATTCCGGCGCCGGCAAGGATAGCACTGCGTCCTCCGCCGCCGGCTGCGGCGGCGCCGGAGGGAGAGGGCTGAGGAACCCAACCGGCAAAACCACTCCTCCAACATCCTCAGTCTTGCGCTTCTTCCAAGGACTCTCTCCTGAAGCGGCGCGTTCGACCAAGCCGGCGATCTCGCTGTCGAAATCGCCTTCGGAATCGGAATCGCTGCTGCTGCTGCTGAGTTCGATAACCGACTCGGGAGGGGGCTCTGAAACGGCACCGTTTCTCTGCCTCCGCTCGGACACATTCGTCGGAGTGTCGAAGACTTCTTGTTTGACACAAGCATCCATAGCAAAAACGAAAAAGATTAAATAAAGATTCAACAGATTCAGTTTTGTACAGATTATAGAGACAGAAAGAACAAACGAAGGAAAGGAAATTCTCAGAGGTTTTAAAAGTGAAAGGAAAATGGAGTGAGGTTGATGCAATGGTTGAACAAAAGGGGTTAGTCTCGTCGTTGGTAAAAGAAAAGGAGCAAAAGACGGGCCTCTCGGCTTGATCCTTCGAATCGAGGAAAATACGGTGCACCCAACGCTTCAATTTAAATCGTTACAGTACACAAGTTTTCTTTTTTTCTATTCATTTTATTTTCAGACGCTGAAATTTTTGGGTTATTATTTAATTTAAATTTGTTATACTACACTAATCTGTGCTTATCATAAATGCTGATACTTATTGAGCATGGCTTCCAAATGGAATACCGAATACTCATCTTCATTATTGATAAATTGTTTTTAAAACATGTCCTCATAGTACAACTTTGTAATTTTTAATTAAAAAAAATACTATATATGTCATTATTGTGTTATTGGATACGTATTAACAAGGAACAATAAAAAATAACTATTATTTATTTTGAAATATATATTATAAAATATATCATGATATTAATTTGTACTTTATTATTTTTATGATTTAATTATATGCAATATTAAAACCAGTATTTTATGTTAATAAACTTAAGTTAGCTTAGTCTTCTCTTTTATATTATCGTATTTTTATCAAATTTTGTACAAATCTGGAAAATACTTTATCAAAATTTTGAATCAAAAATAAAATAAAATCAACTTCGTTCCATATAAATTTCTATTTAATATATTGTGTTTGATAAAATTAAAAATTTATTTTAAAAAAATATTTACATATCATAACTCTCAGGAGTTATTTGGAAAGTAAAATCTTAAAAACTAATTGAAGAAAAGATAAATTTTATATTTTAAATAAATATATTTAAAATTAATATTTTTTAAAAATAAAAATATAAATTCATGTATTATCATAAATTTAATTATTTAAATCATTATAAATAATATATGATTATTTTAATTTAAAATTTAAAATATAACATCTTTTTTTTCAGAACTTCTTTTATTTAAATAATATTAATAACACTTAAAATGTATATAAATTTTATTTTTTAGAATATTGAAGTACCGTTTGATGTGCACGCACACCACCTCGCGTTGGGACTAGGGTAAGACATTTTTTTTTCTTCTAAGTTACGGTATATTATAAATATTTAATATGATTATATTTATTAAAACTTAAATTTGAAATTATAAATTAAGCTAAAATAACTTTTACTAATTAATCCATATATTTGGTGATGATTTAATTTTTCTAATTTTTAAAGTTGAATTTAAAAAAATATAATATAATATATTGAAAATATATTTTATTAATTGTATTAAAATTATGAAAAATATATTATTTTTTATTAAGAATATATTCTTGTTAACAACTCTAAAAATTTAAAGTGTCAGTAGTTTTTAAAATTAAAGTAAAACCTTAATAATATTAATAAAGTAAAAACGTGAAATTGAAGCTATGAGTTGAAGAGTTAAGACGCTGAATAATGGTAAAACGGTATCATGGTGAAGGTCTTATTAAGTAAAAAACACACGTTGGGTAATTATGTTAAATGTCTCAAATTGAACCAATTCTCTTCCCTTCTCAGATTTCCCCTCTTTTTGGGGGCGCTGTGCAATCTATATGTTTCAAACAATATGATTGGTTTTGGATGTCAAATGCTGTTCTCTGTCGTCCAATCGGCATCAAATCTCGTGGGCACGCTAAATTTTGCAATTCACATCTTCTTTCGTTTCCAACCAATGATATTACTACATAGTCATGTCATATTTATGCAATTTTATTATATTGCTATTTAATTATAGCTTAATACATTTTGTTTATTACATTTTAACATTTAAATGCTATTATCTATGTTTGAAGTAAAGTGATACATAATAATAAAAATGTGAATAAAATTTATTTTTATTTTCACATGTTTATCGATGCCTCTTGAAAATATTTAATAATTTATTAAAAAAATTGTGTAAATTTTACAGCTTCACAATAAAATAATGATTTAAGTAAAAAATAATGAATTATTAATTTTTTTGAAGTGTGTTTAACGGCACATAAAAAATTATAAATACTATATTTTGATAAACCTTTATTATTTATTTAGTATAAATTAATTAAAATATATTAAAAATGATTGATTATTTGTATAAAAAATATCACTGCCATAAAAAATAAATTATTATTTCTTATAATAAAATATGTATGATGACATAAAATGTAAGTCATTTCTTGAAAAAAAAATTAACATAATTTGTGTAGTAAGCTAAATTAACTTAACTTACGAGAAAAGTTACTTTCTTAATAAATATATTTTGTGAAAAGAAAAGAGCGAAAAGTCAGTTTCTTAATAAATACATTTTGTGAAAAGAAAAGAGCAAAAAGTTAAAGTACAATATAATTTTTAGAGTCAATAAAATTATGTTTAAATATGTTATTAGTCTCTATAAATGTAAGTCATTTTGTAATAAATTGTTATAAATTTTTTTTTAAGATATAGTCCATGAAAAGTTAAAAATTTAATATTTAATCTCTATTGTTAACTCTCTCTATTAAGTGCTGAATTGACTGACAAAGAATCAGCTCAGTTTAACACTCTACGTGGCATATCATGTTATTTATTTTTTATTTTATATAATTGTATAAAAGTACTTCTCCTTCTCTCACTCCTTCCTCTTTCCCACACTCTCATTCATACTACCCCCTCCCCTTCCTTTTCCCCACTACCTATTTACCCCACATCATTCTTCCTCCAACACCCATACTTATTTCTCATATTCGCATTATCATTCTTCCTTCTCTACATCATTTTCTCTTTAACACCCACACTTCTACCATTATTCGCACCACCCCCTCCCACATCCCTTCCCTTTCTTTTATCTGCACCATCCCCAAACCCCCCACCTATTTTCGTCTACCTCTTCCCCGCATCTTTCTCCCTCCAACACCTACACTTATTCTTCACATCTGCACCACTGTTCTTCCTTTCCCACATTCCTTTCTCTCCAACACCTATACTCCTACCACCATCCGCACCACTCTCTTCTCCACTTTAAATAAAATTTGACACATTAAACTTTTATGTCAGCTCAACAGTGTTCACAACCATCTTTCTCACATGTACCATGTTGTGGCAAGTTGGCAATTTCAGGAGTTGAAACAACAACACAATAAAGGGAAAGGAGGGAGAGTTAAATGATGGGACCATAGCAAGTGGAGAGAGTATGAAAGTTTTTGTGGGATAAGTGGAAGATGAGATGAAAATGACAAAGGAGAGGGGAAAAGGAGAGGGAAGAAGGGGTGCTGGGGGTTGTGAGGGAGAAAAAAAAAGGACTGTGGAGAAGAAAAATGAAAGTTAGAGAGACTTTTACGCAGTTATGTAAAATATATTCAGGAACTTATTTTTAAATAATTTTAAATAATAAATAATAAATGACATAGCATGCCACATAAGTTGTGATTAGGCCTCAAGATGATCACGTGACGCCACGTGAAGTGCTGAGCTGACTCTCTGTCAACCAGCTCAACACTTAATCGAGAAAGATTAACAGCAGAGACTAAATCTTAAATTTCTAACTTTTTAAGGACTACATCCTAAAAAAAAAAATTTACAAAAACTTATCACAAAATGACCTATATTTATAGGATATAACTTATAACTATAAGCAAAGTTAAATTTTATAACTTATAATTGAAACTTCGCATTTTTTATGCTTTTAAGAAGTTTTTTTAAGTAAAGTACATATCAATTGTAATAAAATAAAATATTTTATACTTTTACAATATTATTCCATTTTATTGAACTTTTATTTAAGTTATGATTATGTTGAAATTTTAGAATAAAAAAATTTAAAAATGAAAAAAAAACATTTGAAAAATCAGGGAATGAAAAAAAAAAGAATAAAAATAAAAAAATGCAAAACTATATAGATTTTTAATAAATTAGCTTAACAAAGTATTTTGTAACTTTTTTTTGTATAATTAGTTAGTACTATAATTTTTTTAAAACTTTTTTATATGTTGACTTTTATATTAGAGGTTAAGGACGTGCAAAACAAGCTCTAATTAGCCTAAAAAAATATCAAAACAAAAATTCACAAAATTAAGGTCAAATGAATGATAATTGTAAGGCCACTTGTAAGAAATTTTTAAACTATTCTAAAGGTCATTACATGGTAAACTCAAAACCTCCTAACTAAGGGATAAAATCAGATTAAATTTAAAAATTTAGAAAAGTAAAATTAATTAAGAAGGTAAATCAATAAAAAAAATTATTCTAATGCATCAAAATTTTTAGGCATTTGAATTTAATATAAAGAGAAAATAATTTGTCAAGTAAATTAACACATATATGTGGCATGAAATGACTTAAAGAAATGAAAAATAATATTGTAAAAAGACGAGAATAGGAAGATATGTGAATACTTATTATTTTTATTATTGTCTATTTTATATGTTTTATTATTTTTTTTATTTTTACTTCGAAAAAAAAAACTATTTTAATCAAATTCAATCCATAATCGTTGTTGATTTTTATGACAAAAAAATATATATACAAAATTGTAAGAAGAATGAACGGAAAAAATTTAATTTATTGAACAATAATAATACATTCATAATAACTCAAAAAAACATAAACTAATTAAATAACCAATGAATTGATAATAAATTTTAATAAAAAAAATAAATTATTTTTAAATATTAAACTATTATTAACTATAATAATAATAATTTAATAAACTGAAAAAAATAAAGCAATTTCAAAAAAAAAAACCAAAAGCAGTTTTAAAATCACATTATTAATACTTTTTTTTTTGTTTTTTAGATTACAAATTATATTTTTTTATAATTTAAATTTATTAACAGAAAGTAGATTTATTGTCAAAAAATAATTATATTCTTTTTTACTTTAAATTAAAATCAAATAAAAATATCTAAAATAAAATTAATTCCTTTTCAAAAGTATAAAAAAACATCTTATTGTAAAAAAAAATAAAAATATACCGTTAACTCAAAATTAAATCAATCAAATATTTTATTAGATATTTAAAATATTATAAAATTAATTTAAAATGTTTAAGAGTTTCGCCAACACAAATTTTTTATTAGATAGAGCTTGAGACTTATTTTGAATTACTAAAATTAAATGAAATGAAGTAAGAAAAAACAAGAAAATATTACAAGGTTTCAAATATAATTATAAAATAAATTAAAAAATCACATGCAATTAACAAGAGAGCTACAAACAAGTATTGAGCTTTTAAAACTCATAACTAAAAGTATATAAAAAAAGGGTATTAAATTGTAATGTAAACAGTGTAAATTTATTAGTTCAACAAGTATTTAAGCCCGTATTATGCATGGCTGAATCATTACTGTATTTATGTAAATATAATCAACTCATAGTGTGTGGACTTAAATAATATTTGTACACTCAATTCAATTGATTTTTTTAAAAGTGATAATTCATTTGAAGTTGCACAATTATTTTAACATATTTATCTATATGGACATTTTAAATTAGGACCCAAATGTCATAATTTCTTGAAAATCCTTCATATTGGTCATACAGCCCAAATTACAACTACATGTTTATTTTAATCTATTTAGATTTCTAGTTTTTTATTTATTTTCAGGTACTGTAGTTTCAATCTTTATTTTTTTTTTAATCTTATGTAAACTATCATTGTACATATCTTTGGTAAGAGTAGAGCTTCTTGCTTAGCGCCTGGTGGGTGACAATGATAATGTCTCGTAGCAAGTGTGCTGCTGACATATATAAATTAAGTTTAATTTTAATATATTTTTTTAAATTGAATAAAATATTTTTAATAAAACTTAGATTTAAATATACTTTTAATTTTATTTTTTAAAATTTAATTTATTTTTTTTAGTAGTTGATATTTTTAAATTCACTGCTTTTGATTCCTCTCACTGATATAACATAGCGTCACAGAAATTTAACGTGAAGCAATTTTTCTGAATCATCGTAACCAAAAAGATTATATTTAAAAAGTAAAAAATAAAGTAAAAGCAAATAAATATTAATATTAAAATAATATAAAAATTTAAGAAATAAAAATATATTAAAACTCAATAGTTTGAATTATTAAATATAATTAAAACATATCTAAAAAAATTTTATTTATAATACTCTTATTGAGATAAGTATTTTCTCAATAAAATATATAAAAATTCATCGGTAATATATATATATATATATATATATATATATATATATAAGGGTATTAAATTGTAATGTAAATACCGTAAATGTGAGTGCAGCTAGATTGTGATGGTAAGGACAAACAAACCACACGTTTCATGCATTGACCATAGTTAGACAAACAAACAAACCACACGTTTTATATTTTTGTAAAGTATATATAAATCTTATGTGATAAAAAGTGTCTTATTATAAGTTAGTAGGATGCTATCGTTAGATTTGGCAATTTGGATTAGAAATGGGGACCACAGCCTGGTTCAATCCACATTCTCAACATAAAAATCCACTTTCCATATTTTTGTTGGGTACATATAACTTCGTTTGTTACATGATTTTGCATGTCTAGATAAATGGATTTTCATTATATGTTCACGAAAATTTGAAGGACTGTGAAAATACCCATTTTGCAGAGTCGATTCCACCTGGACAAACACATTCTCTCTCCGCCCCTTTCATAAGAATAAAAACTTATTATAACTGATTTAAAAATAAACTCTATCATTGTATTAATTATTAAAAAATTATTTAATAAATACTCTTAAAATTTTATAAAAAATTATTAAGAACCGACAAATATTTAAAACTTTCTTATTAAAAAAAAGTCAAAGGAAATAAATTCTAAAGACTTTGAATGTAAAAATGTGGAGTAATTAAATGATAACTTATTAGACTTGACACCATATAAAAATTTTAAAAATAAAAGATAAAATTTAGATATGACAGTTCATGTTTTTAATTACAATTAAAGTTTTATTTTAATAACTAGTATAAACTTTATAATTAATTTTTATTATATGAATTATTAATATATTAAAACTTCAAATAAAAACAATAAAATTACTTATGATACATAATTATGTTTTTTTTTCATTTCTAAAATAATAAAATTATTTTTTCTATGTGTTGTGAATGTCTATGCATCATGAGACTAAGTGTGAAGAGAAACTTACAGAATGATTTGCTCATGACAAGAAAGGATTTTAGTAAATTTATGTAGTGTATATTGGGTGACTTTAATGTTGTGAGACAGGTGAAAGAGAGGAAGGGTTATCAGATAGATTATAGTATCTTTGAAATGGATGGCTTTAATTCTTTTATCTAGGAAATGGAGCTTGTAGATCTTCCACTTATGGGTAAGAAATTTATATGGATAAGAGGGGATGCTTCTATAATGAGCAGGCTGAATAAAGTCCTTATTTCTGGTTCCTGGCTTAATTACTAAGGAGATGGTTTTATTCAGGTTCTGAGTAGAGATGTGTCTGATCATTGTCCCATATTTTTAAACACAAAAGCGGTTAATTAGAGTCCAAAGCCGTTTCGATTTAACAATTGTTGGCTGACTCATAAGGGAGTTGTGGAGGTGGTGAAAGAAGTATGAAAAAGAGATATTACTCTTCCATGGGCTGCCCAAAGAGTTAGCCAGAAGTTGAGAAATGTTAAGATTGCATTGAAAAAATGGTATATTAAGGTGTTTGGAAATGTTGATAAGGTAATTTCTGATGACAATTGAGTTGAGCTTGATTGATGATAAAAATTCTATGATGGAACTTTCCGATATGGAGAAGGAGCGTCAATAGATATTGGCGGGTGATATTTGAAAGGTTAAGAATAATAGAGAGAGTCTCATAGCTCAAAAAGCTTAGGTGCGATGGGAGAAGGAGGGTGATTTAAATACAAAGTTCTTTCATTTGTGTGTTAACGGGAGCAGGCGACAAATACATGCGTTTCAAATTGGAGAGAGATGTGTTGAAGAGGTTGATGAGATTAAAGTAAGTGTAGTGTCTTATTTTGTATATCATTTTAGCAGTAAAGGTTGGCTTCAACCTACCATTAATGTTAATGATTTACCAAGAGTCTTTGTTCTACAAAATGAGGGCTTGTTAATGCTTTTTTAGAGGAGGAAGTGAAGAGGATGATTTTGGAGTATGAGGGAGAAAAAGTCCAGAGCTTGATGGATTTCATTTTGTGTTCCTTAAGAGGTTTTGGGGAGTGATTAAGAAAAAAGTGATGGATATACTTGCTGAATTTTTAAGAAATAGAAAACTACTTAATTCTTTGTTATCCTACTTTATAGTACTTGTATCAAAAGTGTCTTGCTCACAATAGATCTCTGACTTTTGGCCTATTTCATTGCTAGGTTGCCTTTATAAGATTGTTTTCAAGCTTTTGACAAATAGGTTGAAAGAGGTTATGAATTCAATAATTTCGGAACAACAGTCAGCCTTTATTTCAGGAAGGAACATGTTAGATAGTGTGCTTGTGGCTAATGAGGTATTTGAGTATGTGCGAAGGCATAACAAGAGATGTTTTGTGTTAAAGTTTGATTATGAGAAAGCTTATGATCTAGTGGAGTGGGGATATATTTTGTTTATGTTATGTAGCTTTGGATTTTCAGAAAAATGGGTTAGTTGAATGGAAGCTTGTGTGGGGGGTAGCCTATCAGCTTTGATTAATGGTTGTTCTACATTGGAGGTTCATATTGGGCGGGGCCTAAAACAGGGGATCTTCTTGCCCTTTTTTTTTCTTGCGGCAGCAGAGGGGTTAGGAGTTCTTATACGGAAGGCAGTAGCTTATGAGTTATTCTTTGGTGTGAAGATTGTGGTTGGGGTACCGGATATTTTTTTGCTGCAATTTGCAGATGACATATTGATTATGGGAGATGCTTCAATTTAGAACTTGTGGACTTTGAAAGCACTATTGTGTAACTTTGAGTTAATGTCAGGTATGAAAAATAACTTCCATAAAAGCTGTGTATTGGGATTAACACTAGCGATGACTTTGAAAACTTGACTGCAAAATTCCTACATTGTAAGATTGGTAGTTTTTCATTAAAGTATCTTAAGTTACAGTTAGGTGTTAACCCGAGGAAGCCTAGTGCATGGAAGGGTGTGTTAGAGGCTCTTAAAAAGAGGTTGGGGTTTGGGGACCAGACATTTCTTTATTGCAATTTACGGATGACACATTGATTATAGGAGAGGTTTTGGTTCAGAACTTGTGGACTTTGAAAGCAATATTCTGTAACTTTGAGTTAATGTCAGGTATGAAAATTAACTTCCATAAAAGTTGTATATTAGGGATTAACAATGGCAATGACTTTGAAAACTTAGTTGCAGAGTTCCTACATTATAAGATTGGTAGTTTCTCATTAAAGTATCTCGGGTTACAGTTAAGTGTTAACCCAATGAAGGCTAGTGCATGGAAGGGTGTGTTAGATGCTCTTAAAAAGAGGTTGACATCATTGAAGTATATGTATTTATCGATTAGAGGCAGGGTGATTGATTAATGTCGTTTTTAATTCTATGTTATTGCACTCGTTATCCTTTTTTAAGGTACCGAAGTCGGTTATAAAGGAGATTGTCACTATCCAACATAATTTTTATAGAAAGGTGTTAAAGATGGATCTAAAATTCCTGGGTGAAATGAAAAATGATTTGTAGACCGTGGAAGAATGGTGACTTAGGCATTAGGAATGTGCAGTAGTTTATTGGTAAATAGTTGTGGCGAGGTGTTAATTATTCTAGTTTATTGTGTGCAGGTGTTGTAAGTTAGGCATAGCAGATTAACTTCTTCTATTCAGCGTCCATCAATCCACAATAAATGTTCTTTGTGTTAGCGTGATTTATTGGAAGTTATTCATCAAGAAAATTCATGGCTGAATGAGAAGTTCAATAAGAGTGTGGGTGCAAGTTTGCACACCTTTTTTTGGAGAGAAGAGTGGGTAGGTGGAGTACAATTGTGTAAGGCATTTCCATGATTTTTTGCAGTGGCAAGGAATATTGAATCTTGTATATTGGAGAATAATTTTCATGATGGCACTAGGTGAGTTTGGGATGTTAGTTGGCGAAGAGAACTCATGTGATCAAAGCTTTAATCTTTTGTTGGAACTTGTGGATGAAATTTCTATTAAGGTGCTACAAGAAGATAAATGAGTATAAAGGACAGATTTTTTATGTTGTTATTTAGTACAATGTGCGTATTCATGGCTATTTAAACTTTTTGGTGGTCTTAATAGTGTAAATTAGTGTATAGCAGACGCCTTACAAAGGCTATGAAGAGGAAATATTCCCTTTAAGTGTCTGGTATTCTTGGCAATTGTTGTTGAATGCACTTCTTTATAAAGGTTTACTGATTGATCGTGATATTCAAATTGACAATATAACTTGTTACTTTTGTCATATTTTAGAGAAACTTTCAACTTATTTATTTTTAATGTGCTCAGTTTTATCTTAAATTTGGTACTTTATTATGCATTGGCTTAGATTGTCACTAGTTTTGTCTTCATATGCATATGTTTATAATATTTTTATGTTACACAAAATAAGTCAAATTTTAAGAAAATCAAAAGAAATAAAAATTCCCCTACCTCATTTTTCATGGTTGTTAAGAGGAAGTTATTTTTTTAAATAAAAAAAAAATCATCCTCCCAATTTCTCCTTTCTAAACAACAGTAAAATTTTGTTATTTTTATTTAGTCTTTTTTTATTATATTATTTTCCCTTCCCCTTTATTTTTATAAATTTAAATATACATGTATTGTAAATATATTTACTATCATTTACATAATGTAGCATGCTTTTTTCTTCAAATATCTTTTGAGAATTCCAGTTGTGATGATTAAGTATCGTCTACAATGTAAGAGTAAAAACTACAAATAAATAAATAATTGATTAAAATAATAATAAATGCCATCAATTTAACAAGATTGAAGAGAATTAACTATTGTTTTAGTTTGATTTGTATTTTTTTACTATAGTATTATTTAATCACATGTTACTGTATACGATAAGGATTAAACTAACTCTTAATCAATCATGTAACTTGACTGAACTTTTCAAATTGAAAAACAAAAAGTCGTAACTTTTAATCCATTGGCTATTCAAAATAAATGGGCATATGAGTAATGATTTAGCAATGAGGTTATTATTATTTTTTTCTAATAACCTAAAAAGGATGCATATGAAGAGATTCTAGAAAAACGATAGCTGCATGTTCATTGTCAAGACTTTTGAAAGTTTTACCATTCGGCATTAAACAATTGAATATAGACACTTGATTATATAATTAATTAAGATTAATCTGAATTTGGCTGCCACTGTCTGCATTCAGCAACGTTTGAATTAATTAAAGATAATATGGACGCATGTATTCCATCGTTCAATAGGTGACCAAAGCTTCTTGGAAAGTTACTGAATCGATCCTCTTCCACTGAGTTGAAAGTGATTGGCACAATGGTATTCAACACATTAGCATCATTCACATTACATTGTCCATTACTATATAGTCTATAAAATTAGATTTCTGTAGGTGAATAGTACACTTATAAACATTTTGTTTCGTTGCAAAAATTATATTAAATTTTATAGTTTTGTAATCTACATGTTTATATTTTTATGAATTTTTAAATGAGATTTAAAATAATTAAAATAATCAACCTTCGTATTGATAATCTACTTTTTAAAAAGTTAAATATTCATGCAACTAAAAATATATTTCAGATATTTTAAAATTTTAAATTATATTTAATTAAAAATAATATATAAATTACAGGATTATAATAATTTTATTTTTTACTCACATATTTATTAATTTCATTAAATATTTTTAGAAATTAAATTTTTTATTATCTTATATAATTTTTTTGTGAACATATATTATTATATTTACAAAAATATTTTAATTCTGTTTATTAATTTAAAGTTTACTTTTAAGCAAATTATTTCTTAAATAATGTTTATTATATATTAATTATTAATATATAATTAAAATATTTTTTAATATGCACAATAAAAATATTATTAAAATAAAATATATTTTAAAATTATTTAGTTTAGTTGAATTATTATTATTTAAATATATCATTAATAGTTATAAAATTAAATTTAAATAAAATTTAAAAAAATTATTGTGCATTGCATAAATTATTAAACTAGTTTTTATTTGTATATTTGTACTTCATCTTATCATCAAGATAATTAATATATTTTTTATTTATATATTTAAGAAACATATTTTTTGAATTTTTGAATTTTTAAAAATGAATCAATCATATTATTTCACTAAATAGTTTTTTAAAAATATTTATAATTTAATTTCTTTAAATATTATAAAAAATTATATTTAACTTTTCTAAATAATTTTTTAATTTAATAATTTTCACCAATATTATATTTTTTAAGGCAATATTATAACTTTTTACAAAATGAGAGATTAAGTCAAAAAAATTGTAATATTAAGGATAAAATAAAAAATAAATATAATTAAAAAATATGAAAATATTCTTAAAAATTTGAAAACAAAAAACGGCAATTTTTCAAGGGAGAAGATCTTAATTAAGCCTGTAAAGTATAAAAAGAATTTCACAGTTGACTGAACGATGAAGCAGACAAAGGCATGTGACCTATTAAAAACCCACGTGTTTTCTCGTGTCGGAAAATAGAAACTAGGAGTTCTGAATGCCCGTCAGGAATGACAGCGCAAGCAATGGCTACTTTTCCCCTTTTTTTTTTTATTATTCTTCTCTTTTCCCCAAAAAGAATATATGTCCTCTCTAGTTCTCACCCACCTACTTCAGTGTCCACTTGCTATTATTGGTTCTTATGTTTGACATTTAGCAACGGTGGATTCAAGTTGCACTTGCATTTAAACGATTCGATGACTTATAGGAATTCTTTTAATGTTTTTAATAATATATTTTATTCATAATTGTTGAAAGTAATTTTATTATTAAATAAATTAATGAAATATTTTTATCATAAATTACTATAATTACAAAGCAGAAGCTTTCAAATTCAAATTATTATCTTTAGACAAAGGAAATTCTTAATCAGACTCAACTCTAGTTTGCTTATCAAACATTTGACTTTTTCTATGGAAAATGTCGACTATAGGTAATTTTTAACTCTTTCAAAAAACAGAAATATAAAATTCAAGATGATAATTACCTCCCTCTTTCCATCATATCATGCTACTTTCGTTTTCAAAAGGATTCAAAATCCACAGCGTGCTTGTGATCTAAAATGTAAGACCTAAATAGTCGGAGAGTCTATGCAAGGGTGCGACCGTGTGAGACCAAGTCCTCTATATAAGGAACCCTTAATTAACTTCCAATTTCAATACCCATCATACAACAAACTGACACCAGTTCAATCTCCGGCTTTATCCTTTCATATCTCTTTCAAGGTTCCAATCAATACTTTTTTGCGTCTACTTTCTATATTAAACACAAGAAGAGTACATAAGCTACCTTGTTGTAGGTTTCCTTAGCATATCTGCTTCATCTATAAGTAGAAGGAGTACAAGAGAGATATATAAGATTTATTTTCCAAAAAAAGAGATGGACCTTGTGAAGAAGTGTAAGAGGGTATTGGGAAGAAGCAAGAGATTGCACCCTGAAAACAATGGTAGTGGAAGCTATGGAAAATTGACCAACAAGAAGAAGAAGAAGACTCCACATGGTTGCCTTTGTGTGTACGTTGGACCTGAGAGGCAAAGATTTGTAATCAAGATAAAGATCGCGAACCACCCTTTGTTCAAGACGCTTTTGGATGCTGCTGAGAGAGAATATGGTTACAGAAACGACGGTCCCTTATGGCTCCCCTGCGACGTTGACTTGTTCTGTGAGGCATTGAGGGAGATGGAGACTGGCCAAGAGGATATGGGTTGCACCTTTCCTATGGGTCAGAGCCACAGGCATAGCCCCACTTCAGTTCTATACAGTCCATTGTCTTATTCTTCTAACCCGAGCTGTGATGTTGATTACGAGCTTTTCGGATGGTAAAATGTTTGGCAGAAACTTGGAGAGAAATGGATTGGGAAAAGAGAACCTATGCTACTGTTTATCTAGAGAGAAAAAAAATTGTTCATATTTATTTGTCTGTATAAAATTTTGGATAATAATAATAATAATAAATATTTTTATCAATATTATTTTATCTATATGTAATATTTATATTATTTGAGTAGTTAAGAATAAAAATATTTAAAAATTACTTCCAATAAATGATTATTTTTTAAATAAATAAAAATAGAGGTGGTATTGTCTAAAAAATAAAAAGAAATTGAAAAAAAAAGAGATGTGTGAAATTTGTGATTATGTATTTTTTTTAAGGTGAGAGATAGTGAATTGATGATGAACAAAAAGAAAGAAAGAAGAAGAAGGATGGAAATTATAAAAAAAATGTATCTTTTTGTAAGGATTTGGAGGTAATATCACAAGATTAAAATAAAGAAAAGTTAAAAAGTTGTAGATAAAATGATAATGGTTTAAAATATTTGAGAATGTGAAAAAGAAGAATGAAACCTAAATTCTTGTCTTAGACTACGTAGATTAAGGTTAAATTCAAAATTATTAGCCTAATTCTTATTTTTATTTAGGTTTGAGTCAAAATTTTATATTTTAATTAAATGTTTTATTATGTTTTAGACAGGGAGCTGAGTTTAAGCATGTTTAATGGATTTGATTATTAAAGTCTTATAGAATTTTTATTAAATTATTGTTATTGAATTTGATCATTGCTAAAAAAATAATGGATTATTCTTTATTATAAATACTTGTGTAAGACCTTTCTAAGAATAAAACTCAAAATTAAAAGTCATTTTGTATGTTTCTTAAAATTTTTGAAAAAAATTATTACTTGTATTATTTCTCCATCCACCAATAACTATCATTAATAAACAATGGATTCAGATCCTAAAATTAAAAATGTTTTTGAATAAGCATGAGTAAGCAAATGAAATAAAGTGGCTTGATAAAATCTCATACTTAGAAATAATATTATATAACCAAATTAAGACATTATAAAATATGTAAAATATTTCTTAATATTTTTTTGAGTAATAGCTAAAATAAATTTTAAAACTACTTTAATTATATCTATTAAAAGCTATTTCATTCATTATAAAAGGTAGAACTATAAAAAGAGAAAGAAAACAAGTTACAAAAAGATTCTTTTACTATTACAGTAGTAGCATATATAAGAGCGAAAATGAGAGTAAGACTTTTTGTAGCATTCAGTAAATATAGTCACAAAATGGCAAGAAAACCCATAAAGTAACAAAAGAATATTAACTTCATTTTTTTAATTTAATTACTAACTATTTAAAACAAATCTTAAATTTTTTTATTGAATTGAATTTGTGACTTTTTTTTTATCTTTTAAATTTTTTTATTTGTCATATTTAAATTTAAATTTTTGTTTAAATTATCTCATAATCATTCACGTCTCCCAAATTATTAATTCTTTTTTATATTCTAAAATGTCGTCCCCTTACTTTAATAATGTTGAATTTCAATTTTTCTTAAACAAGATACACTGTTTTTTATAACATAGATTTGTTTGTTAACTTAAAAGGATAAATCTATCAATTTCATATAATAGATTGTCTCTAATTTTAAAAGTTTTAAAAATAATTTTTAGTGTGAGTTGAAGAATAAGATGACATAATGGATATCTGCAAATCAAAATTGTTTGGTATATAACTAAAAGGTTAGTCGTAGATATGTGACAGATGCATCAATGACCATTATGAGACCCTTGTAAGCTGTAAGTTGAGGCTCTCGAAAATCGAAATAGATTTAAGGCAAAAATGTCATTAAGAACATATTTAATTTGTCCGTATAGACAATTTTTGACGATGAGCTGATCGTCGAGTATTGAAGTTTGGTATCAGTTTAATAAAAGTATTTTCTGATCTGATCTTAACTGTCAAACATTAAAAATTTTGAGTTCTTCGTTGTTCTTATAATCAAAATCCATGCACCGCAACCTTGATTGGATATGTTTGAAGTTTTTTTACACATATATTATCGCCAATCAAAGTCTCAAATTTTGTAGGGTTATGGAATAATTAACGCAAATAAAAGCCTTAGGTGTCATATAGTTTATTACTCAACAAATTAAAAAGTTCAGTGACTCCTCCTTTGCGTAATCTGTTTCAAGGCTCACATGTTTCTCGTTTTTTTTACTTCTTTCGTACGGACATATTTATGTATGGTTTGGGTTGGAGGTGATTGCAAGTTACATGTCCTTCGACACTCAGGTTTGTTAAATTAATTAAAAGGAAATTAGATATATTGTATCGGAATGAAGTGATTTTAAAAAATGTTAATTAAGGTCAGTGGGATCACACTTAAGTTCAAGATGCTTGGTTCTCATAATACAGATTGTCTCGTTATTATTTTGGTCATTCGATGTCTAAATCAATGTACATTAATTTGGTTTTACTTATCTTGTACGATTTTTTCAAAAAATAAACTCTTGAAACTTGTCATTTATGTTTTATGTACTTGATTTTATAATTTTGAATAGTGAAATTTCTTTTGGGAGCCAATAACACCTTTCTTTTAAAAAAAAAGTTGCCGCATTTTCAAATATTCACTGTCACATCGACTATGAGCCATGAATTTTCAATTTATTTATATTTATTTCAACCTTACTTCATATTTTTATCTCTCTTTTTTCTTTGAATCAAGGGTTAAATAATCATAACTTTAAAATCAAGTTATTATTATGGGTGAAAGTGGGGCATGACAGTGGCCTTCCTATATTTAATGTGCTCGGTAGTCAGTGGGATAGTCCTTCTTTATTGCATGTTATTAATAAAAATGATCTCCATATTTATCATGCACACCAACCTTACTTATGTAAATGACCTATAAACCAACCTTTTTCAAGTATATAATAACCTATAAATGATCAATGATTACCCACTAGCGGTAATGTCCTAGTAGTTGTTACTAATTAACAGTTCCTTCTAAACATTCTTCAATTACAAAACAATTTTATGCAAAACAGGCTTACAAATAAGGTAACTAATGAAGGAAAAATTAGAATTCATGTGGTCATTATTCATATCGCCATAAGCGCTTCAAATTTTTTCATGGCAGAAGCAGGCAAACCCAAGAGCACATTTATGCTTTTTTTTTTCTTCACTATGTGACAAGAACAAAATGACTTCCTTTTCTGGCAAAGTTACAGGGCCAAAAGACAAAGGCACCCCCCATCCAAAATCTGCAGTGTGAAAAGGTATCTTAGTCCATGTTGTGATCACAAGTGTTGCTGTTAAGGAAGGCCTTGTTCTGTTGACCTCAAAATAGTCAATAGCAGATCTCATGTAACTGTCTGTGACCATTTCAATTGCCTTGCCAATCAATCCCACAGTAAATGACAGCGGGTGATTCAATAATTCCCCCACCTTGCACGTAGCATTTGACAACACAATAGCATTACCAAAATACCCTTTTGGTATTGGTGGCACAAATCTTGATCTTCCATCAACCGCAAAAAGTAATTTTATTTGTTGATTAGGATTCATATTTAACGCTTCAGTTCTAGCTCTCCACACAAAAGCTGAGAGTGCTTCAAAAGTAGAGCACTTTTTTGTAACACCATCTTCTGTGGCCTTTTTCTTAAGCAACTCAATCTTTTGTTGATCAAAATAGAAGGACCCATAGAGCATCTCTTCCTCGTAGAGTTTGTTGGTATTTGAAACATCTTCAATTTCATCGAATTCGTGGTGTGGGAACTCTATTTTAGGAGGGTTGCGCGCTTTGAGTATGGTTCTGTCGAGAACTGGTGGAATATTTAAGTCCAAGCCTCTGGCTGTCTCACCCCATCATGCATTCACAAATTGCATAGCACTTAAACCATCATCCATGGAATGGTTTACGTTTACCCCTAATACAAATCCTCCACATTTGAATTTTGTCACCTGAAAGAGAGGGTCTGGTAAACATATACTTTAAAAAATGCACATACTAACAATTAGGGATTGGGTTTGCCCTGTTGGCCCATTAGGAATTTAGAATAGTTTTTTTAACAAAAAGTAAACTATTAAATGTATATTAAAAGTTAAACTTTTCTTAGATAAAAAATATACGAATAGAGATAATCTTAAGGTCCAATTATTTTTTATTAGTATGTAACGTTTTAGTGATATGCATATGCTTTGGCAGGAAAAAAGTTAGATATTTACTATAAAAAAATGGAAAATTATACTTATACACCCTTTTTGAGTAGAGGAAATAGTGAGATAAGAAAAAAAAATTATGAGAGAGAAAACAAAATAAGATATATAATGGATAATGTGATAAAAAAAGAAGAAGAAAAGACATGTAGAAAAGATATATAAAACCAAAAAGGAGAATAAAAAATGAATGTTAAAGAAAATAAATATAAAAATTTTAAAATATACTAATTATTAGGGTTTACTGACATATCATGGAAGGCAACTTTAATTTTTCAATCTCTTCTGTTCTGCCCATACACAAATACATGGGCATAAATATAGGCAGTGTGAGTTTTGTGGGTCAAAATATCTTTTTCTTATTTAAGGGAGAAGTATTTCATAATGCTATCAAATTTTATAAGAATATTATTTTTCTCACCCTTTGTAACAGGTGTAATAAGATGGGCGTGAAAAAAGAGAAAAATAGAATGAAAAGGAGGGAAAATCAAAGGGCAAAAAGAATATCCACAAACCTGAATTAGCAGAGGAGGCATGTCAAGTATGTTTTTTGAACAAGGGATATCATAAACAAGTTTTCAAGAGTTTCAAGGTCTGATTTTGACAAATCTCCCAAGTCCTCAATCACACAGTTTGCTTCAGCCTCAACAAACACAACACCCTCCTCTGTGCACTCTACGATAAGCTTCCCTTCTGAGCTGATGCAGAACCTCCCAGCCATAGGGTAATAGTGAACAAGAATCTTTGACAAAGAATCCTTGACAACTTGTGTAGCATCTTCATTGCCTCTAGAATCTGACTTATAACAGTAAA